AATCTCATAATTGACTTTACCATGTCTTCTTACTACTTTATAAGGGCCTTGCCACTGTGCTTCAAGTTTGTTTTCACTTGATGGTAGTAGGAGTAAAACATCATCTCCTGGTTTGAAGCTAATATTTCTACTCTTTTCATCGTAGTACTTCTTCTGGGTAACTTTTGCTTGTTTTGCATTTTCTTCAGCAAGAATCTGTAAGTTGCTTAGCTTATCTCTCATCTTGAGAACATAATCAACAACAGTCTGTGGGGTGTCTTCTTTAGCTGTCCATGTTTCTTTCAGAACATCTAATGGTCCTCGAACATCACGTCCGTAGAGCAATTCAAAGGGAGAAAATCCTGTAGATTCATTTGGTACTTCACGATATGCGAACAAAACATAGGGAAGGTAAATATCCCATAGTTTTGGTTCTGCAACAACAAACTTCTTCAGCATGTTAATCAAAGTACCATTGAACCTTTCAACTTGGCCATCTGTTTGTTGATGATATGGGGTACTCTTGATTCCTTTGACACCTAGAAGTCTGTACACCTCATTCAGTAACTTAGACATGAAGTTGGTTCCTTGATCACTTAAAATTTCCTTTACAATGCCGACTCTTGAAAACAGTATCATCAATTCATTGGCGATTTTCTTGGCATCTGTACTTCTAAGTGGGACTGCCTCTGGATAACGTGTTCCATAGTCTCCTATACAAAGAATAAATCTGTTCCCTTTTGTAGAGCGAGGAAGAGGTCCTACTATGTCCATACCTATCTTTGTAAATGGTTCTTTTACAACAGGCAGAGGGATCAAAGGCGCTCTGTCAACAACTCTCATTCTCGCTGTATGTTGGCAGATATCACAAGATTTACAAAACTGCTTTATGTCCTTGTAGATACCAGGCCAGAAAAATCTCCTCAATATCCTGTCTGTTGTCTTCTTTATTCCTAGGTGCCCTGATAGAGGTATGTCATGTGCCAATTGTAGTATCTTTTTCCTACAACTATTAGGAAGCACAATTTGCTCAACATACTCATTAAGGGGATTCTTTGTAACTCTGATCAGAAGTCCATCTTTCATAATAAAGTATGGAGTTTCTCGCACTTCTTCAGTCGAGATAAGTAGCTTCATTCGCACATCTCTTAGACTTGGGTCGTTGCTCTGCAATTCTTTTAGGTCCTCTGGACTGACTGCATCAAGTTCACATTCCTTGTTTAGATTGACATTTGCATGTTTCCGTTTGGTTGCCCTTCTTTGTGATTTGGTTTTGTACAGCTTGTCACTTGACTTGGGTAGAAACACTGTCTCATCAAATGAAAAAGGGAATGTAACATCATCTTTGGTTTGACATTCATTCCGTGTCACATTGTGTACTACAGGTACGGGTTTATGCCCACGAATATCATCTTTGAGTTTACACTTGCCTATTGTGTTGATGTCATCTTCTTTAGAATTATTCTCATCATCTTCAATGAGAACATCATCTACTGGATCATTCTCATCTACTTCAGAGAGAATTGCATCTCTAGGGATATTCCCATCATCTTCAGTGAGAACATCATCTTCGTTTGACTTGTTCTCATCATCTTCAGTGAGAACTTCATCTTCTTTTGGATTGTCCTCATCATCTTCAGTGAGAACTTCATCTTCTTTTGGATTGTCCTCATCATCTTCAGTGAGAACATCATCTTCTTTTGGATAATCCTCATCTTCTTTAATGAGAACATCATCTTCTTGAACATCATTTTCGTCATGCTGTCCAACTAACTTGACTCCTGAATTCTCAACTTCATGTTCCTCATCTGCATCATCTCTCAACTGTTGCTTCCATTGTTGCCTCGTTGTAACATATGCAGGCACAGGGTTGATCTTTTTGTATATATACTTATTCATTTTATCCCTGTCCAATCTTTTCAATATGTCTTGACCAAGTAAGACTGGTGTAGGGACTGAATCAGAAACGACTGCTTTCACTTGATATACATCATCACCAATGGCGAACTTTACTTTTGTAGTCGGGTAAGATTCCTGGTCCCCATGAACACATGTCATCATAACCTTGTCATTTGTTAAAATGTCCTCAGGTTGTACCAAATCCTTGTGGATGATGGTCTTGCAGCTTCCTGTATCAATCAATAAGGTCACTTCTTTATCATTCAGCATCCCTTGAACTGTCCCATCATCACTGTTGCTGTATTGAGAGAATATGTCAGATTTTGCCTTGCAAAGGAAAGATTGTTTGCCTTGTCTACGGCACCTGCTCGTGACATGACCAAACATATTACAATTTTCACATTTCAAGGACATATCTGTGCTACAATTTGAGATCACGTGCCCCAAATTATTGCATTTTGTACATTTCATTATCTCCTTCCCACTCTGGCACGAAGCCGAATGGTGGCCCCGGACTCCACATTTGAAGCACCGTGACGTCTCCTTAACTTTCTTGTAGTAGTCTTCTTTTGATTCACTTGTATCAGATGGTTTTTCTTCATCATCTTTGTTCTTCTTTGGGTTGGTTTTGTTTCCAAACTTTTTGAACTTTGACTTGGCTTCTGCTTTTTCTACATCTTCCTTCTGAGATTTTCTTGCTTCAATGTAATTGTCAGCTAAGTGCACAACTTCATCAGTTGTTTTTGAGTCATGCTGTCTGACCCAAATTTGCACATCACTGGGGAAGGTGCAAATTAACTGCTCCTTGACGATAAGATCCTTGAGTTGATCTCTTGTTACAGCATCCTTCGACCATTTGTCAAAAGCATCAGTCAGTCTAATTGCGAAGGGCTTAATTCCTTCATCAATAGATCTGTGAAGATTCCTAAACCGAGTTCTGTAAGATTCTTGATTGATCGCATATCTCTTCAGGATAGTTTCTTTGACTGTGTCATAATCTATGGCGTCAACAGCATTCAAACTGACATAAGCAGCCTGTGCTTTTCCTGATAAAGATGGTGCTAATTTCAGTGTCCAATGCTCCTTCTTCCAGTTGCACATCTTTGCAGTTCTCTCAAACACAGTCAAAAAATCCTCAATGTCATCACCATCTTTCAGTTTCGTTATGTAAGGATCCTTGGGGCGCTTTTCTTCTTGTTTCTTTTCATGACGAATTTCTTCAATGAGTCGCCTATTTTCCTCACGGTATTCTTGCTGTTCCCTAACTCTTCTTTCTTCTAGCTGCATACGGGAATGTTCCATTTTGTCAAACATCTCCATCATGAAACGCATCATCATTGTACTATCACCTCCTTGTTGTGGACCAAATTCAGGATCCCTTTGTGTTGGCTTAGTTTCAACACCTTGGTCAAAGTCATCATAGTACTGATCATCATCAACTTGAGTAGGTTTAGTGTTATCTTTAGATTCAGCCATACCTGTTTTCTTTCTGTCTTCAGCTTTTGTTGATCTTGTATCCATAACATTTAATATTAACTAATACACCACACCAAACAATAACACAAGTACCATATAGATCTGTTTTAATTTATACAAAATCTGAATAGTACCTGATACATCATCGCAGTGTCGTTACAATGTAACTTACATTTCTATCTAACTTTATGCTAACTTGTAACTATATGTTAAAAGAAATGGCTTCCTATAAATCTAATATCTTAATAGAGAATTAACTGAATCCAGTATTCTATATCTTGATTATGAGAATGTAACTTGCATTTCTATCTAACTTTATTCTCTAACTTGTAACTATATGTTAAAAGATTATGAAAAGTTTCAAAACTAACTGTCCCAAAGCTTAAAATTGATATGCTATTGGTATAAATAAACAGCACAAGTTGTAGACTATGATGCTAAATCACTAATCACTAACTATAATTAATTATAATTCTTTAAAGGAATGTCAATCTTTCACTAAACTGTAGTAAATCATCTATTGACAGGCCTTGTATCAATTACACTGCCCCTATTGGCAAGCCATACTTGTTTGCAAACAGACTGAGAGGTCAACTTGACCTTCTAAAATGGCAAAAAGTATTTTAAATTTGATAATGGCCTTCAATAACATAAACTCAGGCTACCTATTATGCTCTGCTTAGTGAGTGCGCCTTAAGTTGAAAAAAGCATCTAATCTTGGCTAATTATAACTTCACAGTTCACACCTAACTAACTAACTGGGACACTTAAATCTAATAAACAGTGTTCAAAATCAATATATTGCACTGAATACAAAACCAATGTAAAATATACCATGTGAATTGCAAATTGTAACTTTGTAAAATTTCCTTTTTGAAACTTCAAGTTTTCCAATTTTTACTCCTGGATGCAACTTCAATGTATTTCCTTCATATCAAATCATGCTTACTATAGGGCACTGCTTTACTTTTTAGCTTTATGATTGCCACTGTATATGATTGATATTTGACTTTTGCTTTTCTTATTTTGGTTATCTTGAAACCTCTATATTTTGCCAATGAAGCTCACTTATTCAATTTGGCTTTTATCTCTAGATTTGCTTTTCTTTACCACTTGGGTTTTATCTTATATCTTATAACTTGAGTTGACTGGCCAATGTTCACTTTTCTGTATTGAGATGCAGATATTTTTGCATGGGCTTCTTGCCTTCATCAAAATGTCAGAATCCTTGAGCACAAAGTAATGTAACTATATTACCTCTCCTGAAGCGCTTGTTCTTTCTTCGCCGCCACCATGTGAATATGTTACTTACTACTATATCTATCGGTTATTGTCGCTATTGTCCTTTAGGTCTTTCGATTTCTTTATTTCCTCTCTCTGCTTCTAATTATTACATGTCTCATATATGGCCACTTCTTGTCAACTGACTTTTCTGGGTAAAAACTGGCATGCCATCTATCTTCAATCTACTTTTAATGTTATTGTTAGCATGCCATCTATATTTCAATTCACTTTTAATCTTACTATATCACATACACATATAATTAACTTTCAATGGCCTTATTCAGAGGAGAGTCACCCAGAAAAGACGTGGAGGTATTTACGTGGACGGAATCCCCTGATGACGTCATCGGGGATTCCCTTCCCTTTCCAAAATGGCTTCGCGGGTAAGTAAAATTTCTCTCCTCTATTAGTCTAAAATACGGATAAAGTAAGTTTGTAATCAGCATTATATTTGACACAGCCTTAGCATGAATGTCTGATGTATATTGTAAAGCAAGATCATTTATTTTCTTGTACTACTTTCAGAGATAATTTGTGTTGAAGTACAAAATTTTCATTGATTTTTTTCTGATAGGCCTAGGTAGAAGATTCGTAAAATTACCCTTTTCAGTTTCGATTTAGTGCAAAGGTTCCTGTGTGCAAAGGTAGGGAAAAATAGTATTATGGTAGTAAAGAAAGATATCTTTCATTGTCTACTAGCCTAGAGAACTTCTACTTCACCCAGGTTTATAATTTAGTGGTCCTGTTTTTATAACAAGAGCAGTGGGTTTGTAGAAAAAACAGGGTACCGGGTAGTAAATCCTCCATGCTGGGTTCAAACTTGGTACCCGGTAGAAAAACCGGGTACCCAAAAAATGAAAAATACGAATATATAACATTATAAGATCATTAGAAAACGTGTAAGATTTGTTTTGAATTCACAAAAATGTATGTAACTTCCTTCAAAATTGAGCTAGAAGCTTCAAATAAAAACCATTTAAAGGCTCTTTTCTTCCTCTATCATCATGGTTATATTTTTATTGGTTATGGGGGGGGGTGCAATCGCACCATCGAACCCCCTCCTGGCTACGCCTCTGACATTGTAAGACGTAACAATTTACACTTCAGTGGACGTTTCACAATTAACACCTCTCTGCTAAAATAACGATAGCTATTTACAGATTTAAATCATAATCAAAACTCAGAACAATTCATGTACCAACATACGAACTATTGAAAATAGAGTAAGATTGATTTGTCATGTTTTTCAAATCGTCTTACAATGTCATAGGCGTAGCCAGGAGGGGGTTCAATGGTGCAATCACCCCCCCCCCCCCCCATAACCAATGAAAATATGACCATGATGATAGAAGAAGAAAAGAGCATTAAAATGCTTTTAAAGACCTCCATCGCTCATCTTCATTTTTAATTTTCGGCATTTAACGCTTTCGTTTAAAAAACACCTTTTACATCTCTTCAAATTTGATCAACACACCACGCGCTGATCATTGCTATTGACTCAACCATGGGCTTTCAATCAACATAGCATATCAGATAATCTTCAGAATATTTGTTTGATTTTATTTGCAGCAAATGAGAGTTCAGCGATGTCCAACAGATGACCTCTCGTTGACCAACCGTGCAATAGTCAATGAGAGAGACTATGACCCGCAACAAACCAGGTATGAATAATGTTTCAAACTATGGATCACTTTGTTGTAAGTTACACTTCTGAAGTGTAATTTTTATGTCGAAAACTAGTGCCTTGAAAAATGACTCTTGTTCTAGACTATGAAATGATAAATTTCTCTGAAATTTATTCAACATTAGTCTTGTAAAGTGAGTGGCCACAATATATTTAGAACCATAATACTCACTGTAAATATCAGTGCATTTTTGACAAATATTATTTTATTATTTAGGGGCCAGGTCAAAATATTGATGTCTGTCAAAAAAATGTAATTAATTACTTAGGTCTTGAACCCCCCCCCACCCCGCTCCCCCTTCTAATGAAAGTCAAAATGTTGATGGAACCTTTCTTTATAAAATTTCCACTTATGATTTGCTTTGTTTAACGATTTTCTATCACCATCCGACCTCGTCAAAGTGTCTACACATTTTTCGAAGTTAGAATGTTTATGACAGCTTTATGAATGCAAATGTTGTTACAAGAACGTTTCCAAACAGATTAAGTTAGACATTTGGCTTTTTAATTGGCGACACCATTGTGAAAATGCCAGGATGTATTTAGTACAATGAACGAAAAGTGAATGCAGAAATTGCAAAGGACGAAACCCTGGGAAACTGAAAATCGATGTCTGTCACCTTATTACATAGTGTTTTACCCCCTCCCCCTAATATAATTAATTACATTTTTTTGATGGAGAACAATGTGTTGACCCGACCCCTTAACCAACTAGAACAGTAATATAAAGATCTGATAGGAATATGGTAAACTTTTTTTCTGCTATATTTATTTACATATTGAGTTAAGGAACATTATTTGAGGTAAATATAAGTAAAAGTGTATATCCTGAGAAACCTATTATTTAAATACTAACTGCTAACTAAGCAATTTATCTGTTATTTCTTGAACTCCTGACTCTAACTTGTATTATCCCCGATTAAATTACTTATTGGAAATCTGGATTTTCTTGGTCAGTATTATTGATTACTTGGAAATTACAGTAATAAAATAGTTCATGCACGCTACACTATCACAGTATATATCATAGTATGTCATGATAAAGTTATAAATATCGAAAAAAAAATTGTTTAGGTGATGGATGAAGATTTTGTAAATCTATGCCATTATTATTAGAAATACATGTACTTGTCCATTAAAGTTAATTCAAAAATTATCCCCACTAGAAACTATAATTCCTCTTGCCCATTAATGGTATAATCTATATGTAGTTTTTGATCATTCACTCATAAAAGACTCATTTTCAAAATACATTAGCAACAGTAATTATCTCACCGAACGAAGTTCGAGAGGGATATAGGAAAGCCGTCCATTCGTCTGTTTGTCTGTCCGTCCGTCGTCTGTTTGTCCGGGCGATAACTCAAATACTGTTTCACGGATTTGATTCAAATTTTATAGGCTTATGCCTTATGGGTGTAGGACCTCTGCTCGAGAAGGAATTTTCAATATGGCCACTGAATTCAAAATGGCCGCCATTTTTCGTAAAAAATGTAATCTAATAATAATTATGGCGGCTAGATTTCAAAATGGCGGCTCAAGTACCAGTGAACGGATTTGGTTCAAATTGTATATGATGATGCCAAGGGACACAGTAGATCTGTTCGAGTTACAATTTTCAAGATGGCCGCTGAATTTCAAAATGGCAGCCATTTTACGTAAAAAAACGTAATCTCTGGTAACTCAAATACCAGGGAACGGATTTGGTTCAAATTTTATATGATGATGCCTAGGGACAAAGGAGCTTCGCTCAAGATGGGATTTTCAAGATGGCCACTGATTGTCAAAATGGCGGCCATTTTTTGTAAAAAAACGTAATCTTTGATAAATCAAATACCAGTAAACGGATTTGGCTCAAATTTTATATGATAATGCCTAGGGACACAATAGATCTGTTCAAGAAAGAATTTTCAAGATGGCGGCTTGATATTCAAAATGGCGGCCATTTTTCGTATAAAAAGGTAATCTTTGATAACTCGAATACCAGTGAACGGATTTGGCTCAAATTTTATATGATGATGCCTAGGGACAAAGGAGATCTGTTCGAGAAAGAATTTTCAAGATGGCGGCTGAATTTCAAAATGGACGCCATTTTTCTTAAAAAATGTAGTCTTTGATAACTCAAATACCAGTGAACAGATTTGGTTCAAATTTTATATGCTGATGCTTAGAAACACAGTAGCTCTGTTCGAGAAAATTTTTTTAAGATGGCGGCTGATCTTCAGAATGGCTGCCATTTTTCATTTTCATTTTCGTAATCTTTGGTAGCTCAACTGCCGTTCGGTGGGATTTGCTACTCCGTGAAGTTGCTGTTTTTCTAGTATTATGGGAGGATAGATACCAGGTATATCCTGAGGAGCATAAGTACTTTTTATGAGCCCAGAGAGACCAGAGGTAGATATGATTTATCTTATGAGATGCTAACAGCTAGATTTAATATGGATATGATATTGCTTCCCTGAAGAGGTCTGTATAGGTGTGAATATCATTTATAGCACTGAATATCATCAAAGTGATGGAAAAATCAATCATATTTCCATTATCATCCATTACAGTGATTGCATATTTTCCTGTTTAATTCATATTTTCTCCCATGTGAGTTTTATGATGAATTCTGTCTATTATTTCCATGCATCAGGTAGAACTTTGTGTATGTTAGTGAGGGGGCTTTAACATAAAGGTTGATATACATTTTTTTATGTATATCTTGAAACTAAATCCTAGCAAATGTCCAGAGGAGGAGATACCCCGAAATTCATATGTGAACCCTTCTACATATAAAGATGATCCTCAAGAGGTTTTACATGTGGATAAAGTTCCCCTCTTCTATTGTTACAAGGGATTTCACTAGAAGTTCTAACAACAGGCTAAATAAATGAAAACAGCAGGCAAAATTAATGGAAATCATAAATTTAACATGGAAAAGTTGAAAGTCCCTAAAAATAGCAGGCGATTTTGTGAAAACAGCTGATGAAAATTGCCTGCTGCTAATGAAACCCCTGATTGTAACTGACGATTTTCTATTTCGCCATTGTTGGTGCTCTATATAGGAATACAATTGTAATACAGTAATCTTGGAATCTGATTTCAGTGACAATTAATTATAGTTAAATCTACTTTGCCTTGGATTTCCTATGCATGTAGTAGAAATGTGAAGTCTGGCATTAAGCATAACTAGTCCAACCATTTTCAAGAATTCTATTTCATGAGGGCTTTTTCTATTGTTTAGAGATACCATGAAATAAGTGAATTCCTCAGGGTTTGGTAAATCAATACTTGTGCAAGGATATATATGTGGTATAAGAAAATTACAGAGCATTGATTTTTCAACACTTACTACTGGAGCCATTCATTAGGAGATTGCTACAGTTGGCTCCACAAATAGGTTAATAACTGACAATAACTTACCATGTTACTGACAATAAAACTTTATAATGTAGTCCCTCAATTGAATAAATATTCTCAATCGATTTAACAAATAACAAATGAATATTCACTTTTCTGTATTTTTTTTATTTATTATGATAGCCACGCTATATGTTAAATAATGAGCTCTCTAATGACTGGTGTATACAACTAAAATATCTAACTTTGGAAATCTTCACATTACATAGTGAAACATTGAAATGATGGGCCTTCCCCATATTGTGCACAATGTGCCATTTTTGCCTGTTTTTATTCCAACGAGTAAGCTAAGGAGATTTGAATCTTATTTGTGATACCAATTTATGTCGAGCAGAGATGTTGCACCTTCAATCATATTGATATATTAAGCTCAAATAAACAGTAGATGGTAACTTACACCCCAGCAATGACTTACAAACTACAAATTGATTTTTAAAATTACAAGACTGGCCGAAGCTTTGATAGAAAATTGATTCATATTGTTGGATACATTCAGGAAATCGTTGGATCAATACATCAGCAGGATTACATTCTTACATGTCAAATATATAAAAGAAAATACCCTTTATTCCCCATTTTGATTTGTTACATATACCCTCTGATTATAATAGTGATTTTAGTTGTGGAAATCTCAAATATAGCCTTTATCTCATAGTTGTGGCCTTTTAAAAAGTTTGAATTTGAAATTATGGCAACTATGGGGTGGTCCACTATAGATGGGACACTTTTTGATATACTCTCAATTTGTTGTTAAGCATTTATATCTGTTCAAACCATCTAAGATTTGAAAAACAATCAATTTGTAATCACTCTGTTGAAAATGAGCATGTTTGAATAAACATGCAAAAAATACCACACTTACATAGATACCAACTCTATTTTTAGAATGAACAAATCAATAATCTAAGGGTATGAAATTAGTCAGTTGTAAAGGTCATTTCAATGAGACAAGATGCCAAGCTTATCAAATCGAGAAAAGGAAAAAAATTATAACATGATATGAACAAAACAAGTCTTGCAGGAAGAAGAGAAATTTGAGGATTTTGTGCCATTTCAACAGTTCATAGAGTAGTTAGAAGATACTAATCACAGAAAAATATTATTAAGTTATTAAGTTTCAAAAAGTGTCTATAGTGGACCACCCTGTATTTCACAGAAAATGTGATGTGATGCCGCCTTGTCTGATTTGTTACATCAAAGAATTTCCTAAAGAGTGTGGAAGGAGTTGAGTTGTTTGAGCGTGTAATTAGAAACATTGGTTATTACAAGATAATGTATATGTGGTAGGTAATTATATACATTATTAAACATGATCTAATGAGGTACATAAGTACTCTTACTGTTAGAGCCTAATTTATTTCTTCGATTGAAAATGATTCACTTTTTGTTTTAAAAAGGTGAATTAAATGCAGGGTTTCAAAAACCACGATTGTCTTCAAAAAGCAATACTTTGTATGTATTAGTAAGGTGATCTGTTACCATTATAAAGTTTAGGTCATAAAATTGGTAAATTAGACTTCAGGGAAATCTGACATCTTGAGAAATCCCAGTTGCATAGCGATAGGCAGTTTCTATAGCAACCAAACTCTTTTCTTTCATCATATTCCCATCATATGTTTACATAATGGCTCGATGGATCTTGTCAGTGTGTCCACACCCTATGCAGACAGAGCCTGTGGGAAATATTGGGTGCGGAGCAAATGAGCGGAGGGTGCGGAGCTAACGGTTATTTTTGAATTTAAATTTGGGATATTTCTGAAACTAAGCCGATTTGGGACTTCAAATATACCAAGATATGTGTATTTGACACCAAATATCAATACAATTGTGAAAATAGTAGCGCAATTCATTCTATAGCGACGCAGTGTGCCTTAAACCTTTCCCAGACCTATATATTTTGAAATTATCCTTTTAATACTGAGTCCCCAGCATTCATAAAAAATGGTGTTCAAGGTGCACTATCTATACAAATTATTTTTGCATCTTGGAAGCCAGGCAGTATCTGTGTGATTTTATAAAAATTTGGAAATTTTTTCAGATATCATGCCCTTAAGAAAAAAGCCATGGTAACCATGGTATTCCATGGTGCGTCCATGGTAATCCATGGTTTTCCATGGAAATTCATGGTTTTCCATGTTATTTTCCATGGAAATTCATGGACGCCCATGGTAATCTTCCATGGATATTTACCATGATTTTCCGTGGTAATTGGTGGTTTGATAATTGGTTTTTAATGGATGTGTCATGGGCGGCTTTTACCATGTCACATGGAGATGTAAAATCAACAATTATGGTAGGATTTGTATTTACCAAAATCTCAAAAATTAATGTTTTGATGATATATCCCAGTTGGACTGAGACTTATCATAGAGAAAAAAGGGTGGACATTCATTTTTTAGGTTTAGCAAGAACGTTCATTGAATGTTAAACTCAGCTTCCTTACAAATTAGAAAATATGTGAAAATTATATAATTTTTTATATAGAAATATGATAGTGCAGTTAATGCAGCACAGAGTAGGCCACAAGATTTCAAAAACAATTGTGCAAAGGGCTTTTGTGTAGATCAAGACTAGATAGAGATGGCTTATTTTTTAGGCCAAACACTTCTTTCCTTTGAAAAAGATTAAGTCAAACTAGCCCAAGCTCTGTTTTTATTTCAATACTTTCTTTAATTTTCAGTTTTAAAAATCAATATGAAATAATTTAATAAATAATTTTTTTTAAATTACATTTCGTACATTTGAGAATACAATCAAAAACCATGGTTTCTTTCTTTGAAGTTGAGGAAACTGTAATCAAAAGCCATGGAAGTCGGTTGATTGCAATCGAAAGCCATGCTTTTCCATGATTATTTCTTTGATGTTTCGGAAAGTGCAATCAAAAGCCATGGTTTTCCATGGTTATTCTTTTGATCTTTTGAAAGTCCATGGTTTTCCATGGGCTATTTGTTTGGTCTTTTGGATGCAGAAAAAAGAATAAAACATTTTGTTTCTAAATGAACTTCTCCAAATTAAGTCCCATTCAACCTTTATAAGAATATTATCTCTCAAATTAATGTTAAAAAATTAATCTCTTTGCAACAGATTAAAATAGTTCATTTGCATAATTCTTAAATATTCTGATCTTAATTGTTATTATATATGATAATCTTACTCTTTCTAATGCTCCCTCTTCAGTAATTATTATTGTCGGTGAGTGTAGACAGTGCAAGTCAAAAACTCATTGTTGATCAAATAAAACCAAATAGGATTTACTCCAAATAAAAATGTTTATTCAGTCTACAATAAGGAAATCCAGTGATCTGATTTTATCACTTATTTTGTCTTTTTTTACATCAGTGCCAAAGTTAAATGAAAGCAAATCCCAGCAAACAAATTATTACTTGTAATTGTGGGGTCAAATCATCAATTAAAAAAATATTAAGTAAAAATTTCTTTGTCATATGACACTATGTACAGAATGTACAAACATATATTCAGATTGTAAAAACATGGTTGTATTTCAGGCCTGAAACCAGCTTTTGTCAAGAAGGTTGACTTTCTCAAAAAATTTGTGGGGGAGGGGCGTCAGATTCTTCTCTCTATGATTAGTCTCAATCCAGCTTGGATTCATTCGTTAAAATATTGATTCAATTTTGAAGATTTTGGTAAAAACAAAACATGCCAAAATTGTTGATTTTACAACTCAAGTGTCATGGTAAAAACATGGCATGTCCATGAAAAAAACAATTACCATACCACTAATTACCACAGAAAATCATGGTAAATATCCATGGAAGATTACCATGGGTATCCATGAATTTCCATGGAAAATACCATGAAAAACCATGAATTTCCATGGAAAACCATGGATTACCATGGACGCACCATGGATTACCATGGACGCACCATGGAATACCATGGTTACCATGGCTTTTTTCTTAAGGGCGAGCCCCCTCTAAATATTGGGTGCGGAGCAGCTCCATAAACGTAGCTCCGCACCCAATATTTAGAGGGGCTCATATCTGAAGAACATTTCCGAATTTTTATAAAATCACACAGATACTGCCTGGCTTCCAAGATGCAAAAATAATTTGCATGGGTAGTGTATCTTGAACACCATTTTTTATGAATGCTGGGGACGCAGTATTAAAAGGATAGTCTCAAAATATATAGGTCTGGGAAATGTTTAAGGCATACTGCGTCGCTTTAAAATGAATTGCACTACTATTTTCACAATTTTATTGATATTTGGTGTCAAATACACATATCTTGGTATATTTGAAGTCCCAAAACGGCTTAGTTTCAGAAATATCCCAATTTTAAATTCAAAAATGACCGTTAGCTCCGCACCCTCCGCTCATTTGCGCCGCACCCAATATTTCCCACAGGCTCTGTCTGCATAGGGTGGTCCATATTACACAAAATTATGATTTACCCAAAATCATGGAAAAGACTTAAGAATGCGATAATGGTCTTAAAAATTAGTGTATCTGTTTTAGTATAAGAATGAGACAGTAGAAACTCTCCAAATGTTTTCTAATAAAACAATTGTCATGAATAAAAAATCTGGCATTAAAGAGAGCTGATTGTAAATATGATAAACATTCATAGCTCTAATATTATCACACATTTAATTGTATTAAAGAGAGAATCAGATATAGCAAGCAGGCTAAACAAAAAATTGTCTCAATTTTAGATTATTTTTGGCTTATGTCATTCCTTGTCATGTCTATTTTCTAAAAATCACAAAAGTGCATACTTTATTCAAGGATAACTAAAGATTTTTACAATAATGTATTATTTTTCTATAAGAATGGTTACCATTCTTATTATTTGGGAGAATTTAAACATTTTCCACCCATTTTTGCACTTTGAATCATTAATAACTTCACCAATTTATAACATATTGTGAATCTTTTGGGAGATATTGTATTGATATTGTAAGGAATAGATTGGTAGGTCAATTATAAAAGTTGCTTGTAATTTTGTCACCCCTATAGATCTGATTCTGCCTTTAATCAATCAATGCAGAACCGAGGTATAATGTCCCACTGCATTCCTTACATTGTTTGCTTTATCACAATAATAAGAGCCTCGAACATTTAATTAAGAGTTTATTATCTCCATTTCAATAATTGATAAATCTAGGCACTAATTCATACTTATACCCAACCATCTCCTATTCCTTTCCTCGGGACCATACTCGCCCAAGAGGTAGATATACCCAGAATTCATAGATGAAGCTAACTTTGTGTTAAGATGAGCCTGTAGTTTCATATTCACATGAAGAGAGCTCTATGCAATCTGGGTTGTTCCCCTTTTTAGCATAATTCACTCTGAAAGTAGTACACCTTTTGGAAAAAGCTGGTCCCAGGCCTTCCAAGTGTTCTGTTATATGAACACCTAGATCTAGAGTGAACATTTTGATGTATGAATACTATTTCATTACATTTTTATCAAACTTGTTATCTGTAACAAATCTTTGCACTTTTTTAATTGCAACCAGGTGATTGCGTTTTGTCATGTTAATCCCCTGTTTATGTTTGTATAAAAACATATTTTGCCGGTTCTAGCAGTGTTCATATAAATATATTTGATAATTTCAGGCACCTCGAGATTCATACAGGGACAGGGGCATTCCACTTCACCGTAGAGGCTCATTCTGCAGTGGTACCAGGCACAATAGGCTTCAGTCTGCCCCAGGTAATCTCATATTTTATACCTCAAACTTTATCTTAAATATTTTGCATACCAGGCTCAGGTAATCTTATTGGATTGGTATACTTGGCCTCTGGTAATCTGAAATTTTGCTTGCTCATTTTCATATTTGCTCAAAAATATGTTGAGTGCTGTGAAATCTCTAGGGGGCTTTAGTTTTCAGAAGCAATCACAAATCCAATATTTCTAACAGGATCTAGTTGAGTTTTATGTAATGATAGCGGCTCATCTGCTTGAAGAGACAAAGGGGGAAATTCTGCAGTGGATAGATTTCCTATTGATTTTTACCGCAAATGGAAATAGTTGCAATTAATGTATTGAATGTTAAAGGTGTATACCATACTGAATTGGGTTTCTAATCACGATTTTGATTCTTCAAAAATACTGTTCAGATCATTTAATGCATTCATCTATCATCATGTCATGGTGAACCTTCCTTGTATTCTTCAGGATCTAAGAATGGGAGTGGTTATGTCAAAATATTTACAGTGAAACCTGTGACAATATATTTAATAGATATAAGTATTTTTTGTTTAAATAAAGTTTATGTTGATATATAATTGTTATAGTCTCCAACTGGATGATGTTCGGTGGTTGGTGTTTGGTGTTTATCTTTTACAAATGGCAGGTTGTGACATTTTGCATGTTAATGCCTTGTCTAAATGCTGGTCTGTGATAAACAGTCAAGAGGAATGTAAACTGATGAATTTGGTTGTGGATTCTTAAAATCAAATTGTCTCCCCAATACCCTTTTACAGAAGCTTACTTCATGAACCCTCTTGAAATTAAAGTCAATTCTTTGATCTAGCCTTTATCGAATTAGAATGTACTGTATAACCAATATGACACAACATTGCCACCACCTGTTAAATGATATTCATTTCACATCTGAACTCCCATTAAGTCTATGAAATCTGCATTTGGGATTGCTATAGTTGGCTCAGTTAGCAATACATCACAAATGTGTATACTCTATTCAGAGGTTAATGTGGCTATTATACTATTACATGTAGATCTGTAGATTCAGGGCATATTTTCAATTTGACAGCTCAGAACATTTCTGAGCTTGACATTGGTAACATTTGCCATTTGATTTGATTTGCTATAACTTGCTTTATCATAGGTATCGTATGGGTAGCTTTCTCATTATACTGACATTCACTTGTCCATTTATCTGTCAAAGCGCTCGTTGTTATCTCATTACTTAGGACACTTAATATCTCTTCTGCAGTTCTGCTGCATCTGAAAATTGCATGTTTTACATTGTGGATTCCCTAACGAAATACTGATGAGAAATCGCATATGTTTGTCGTTGGTAACAATGATGCCTGCAGATGGCTCTTAATAATATACAGATTATGCATGATGTCAAATAACCTAAAAATTAGAATTGTAACACATGCATTTTTCTTGTTATCATATTATAGAGAGGTAGTTCTATTTCTTTATAGTTTGCTATCTTCTTTGTTATATCAACAGGGTTCTGCTTCTTCATGAATGAGAAAAATTTACGACGTGTCCTTGGATAACCGGAAAACTCAAAAATTGAGTTGAGAACCTTGTCCATGTCTTCCACCAGGGATTCATAAGTTACAGATATTTTATGAGGGTAGTCCTTTAGAGAATCTAGGGCCTCTGTCCACAAGGCTCTGCTTTGTAGACAGTAGTTCTGAAACTCTGGTATTGAGAGGTTTATGCTGTGGTTGAACCTGCTGTCAAATTCTGTAGACCATTCTCCTGGAATAATCATCAAAACAATAAATGTTGTTTGTATATGAATATTTATAACTAATGAATACCAAAATATGGGACCCCAAAATATCACTCAAAATGATAAAAAGCACCATTCAAGAAGAATATAAATGATTTAATCAAGAAATGAAATGAAGAAATGAAGAGCCCAATTGCAAATGTATTTGAAAATATTAAAAGATTAATTGTTGTTAGTCTTTTGTGATCTTTCTATTTTACCATCAAAGAATGCTGCATTAATGTGTATTTATGTGATTTATGTGTCATAAGCATGTAGGTATATTATTTTGGGTTTCAATCATCATGATGCTGGATGCGCTGAATATTACGTACCTGTCGCCTCAGCTATTTTCAAACTTATGAATTGCTGCAGGAGGTCCTCTCTATGTAAAATGACAATGTTTGGGGACTCTAGCACATCAATGATAGCCTCCAATGACACATTATATACCTTTAAATGGAATGTAAACAACTTAAAACCTGTCATAACCTGATCACCTGACCAATCAGGATACAGCATAGTTGTGATGTAATCTAATAAGAAAGTCTGATTGGCTCGCATGCAGTCAGCAATGTAAGTTATGTTCTCCCCCTTGAAGACGTCTGGAAATATGTCTTGATTGAGTATCTCATGGTATGAGGTCACATGGCTGTGTTGATTGAGTAACATGCTCAAGAGGTTGGATCCTGTCCTAGGGGCAGTCAGTATAATAAAGTGCTTACTGGAGGAGTTGACTCTTGATGAGGGTGTCTTATTGGTACGGAGATTTGCTTCATCTATGCCCGGGATATCCTAGATGAATAGAAATTATATTGCATCAATATTATTCATTTATTACTTGAATAACTGAGTATATATAGTCTCTGTGGTACTGCAGAAAGCATGCTCATTTATTCCAAGCCTATGCAAGGGAGAACCTTACATGAAATGATTTCCAGTGTTAGTACATATTTTTTATAAATCAAATGGGATATACATGACTTATGAGGGTACCTACTGCATCATTGACTGAGGAACTTCTTTTAAATGAATTGAAATCATAGATATTTTTCGATTCCATTCGTTATTAACCAATATATCTGCTTCAAATGGACGTATAAGCTGATTGTAGACAACCTCTATAAATCGGATGGGATTAAGAAAGGTGTTATAGCTACATTCCATATACAATCATGTAAATTGGCCTACTTCGTTTTCTGCAGGAAAACTAATCCATTTATCCCTCTGTCCAATTTTGTCTCTCTGGCTTTTATATGTAATGTTTGCAAACTCATATTTCACCTTTGTGGGAGAGATGAGATTGGTTCCTTGTTGATTTTGTAAATCTATCGATCTGTCCCAATGAGGATGTCTATGTATTTCATGCATGGTAATCCCAGCTATGTTATTATTGATTGCACTTTCGCCATCCTCATCAATTTTCTCTGTTTCTATCACAATAGAGTAGTTTAAAGATTTCTTGACCCTCATTGTTTCTACTAAGAAAAGGATACATACAATAACACACGTAATGTACAGTTTCCATTTCTGATGCCTTTGTTTATGACATCTCCTGATGCATTTATGCATATTTAGAGAAAGTTACAATATTTTAATTTAACTTGAGATTTGTTTGTAGTATTTTTGCTATGTTAATTATTCTCCAAATTGCATATATGTTAGTCCTTTAATGTTTTTATGAATGTATTTTTGAATGAATGCATGTATAGTATACTAGATCATTGTCAGTTTTCAGTTAAAGTTGTTGGCCATAAATGTCTTCTTATGATTAATTGTTTGTCAATCTGATCCCATTAGTTACAGTATGTTAAAACAACTGATTACTTAACCAAATCTTGTAATATTTGTTTGTGTTCATTTTCATGTCAAATCATCATTTTTTGCTAATTTTGTAATTTTTAGGATACCAATTATACTGGAAAAAGAAAAGATCCTGTTATTCTCAAGATCTTGTTATGTCAGGGCCGTCAGATGGGGGGGGGGGGTGCGATGGGTGCGACCGCACCCCCCTTTGACACCCCCAAAAAAGATTTTTTTTTTTGAAAAATATTTTTTTTGAAATTTTTTTTCATCATCTCATACACTTTTAAAGTGCCCAGAAAGCATCAAATAGCATCTTAAAATGGTAAGATTTTCTAGAGGGAGTGGGCCACCCCTCACACTCCCCTCAATACAATGGAAAAGCTCTGAATTTATTTTATGTATTGTCACAGACACTTTTAAAGTGCCCAAGAGCCCAGATATCATCACATAGCTCCTTGATATAGTCAATGTTTCTGGGGGACTAACACTTGCTCTCCTTCGGGATCCCTACACCACCCCACCTCCCCCTCTGGCACCCCCGCCCCCCTTGACACCCCTCCAAAATAATTGAAAAAAAGGTTATTTTCTCAATTTTTTAATTGACTCATACACTTTGAAAGTGCCCAGAGAGCACTAAATAGCGTTTTAAAATTGTAAAATTTTCTAGAGGGAGTGGGCCACCCCTCACACCCAAAACAAACCAATTGAAAAGTTCTGAATTTATTTTATGTATCATCTCAGACACATGTAAAGTGCCCAGACATCATCAAATAGCTCCTTGATATAGTCAATGATTCTGGGAGACTAACACTTACTCGCCCTCTTGCATCCCCACCCCACCTTCCCCTCTGGCACCCCCTCCCCCTTTGACATCCCCCAAAATATTGTGATTTTTTCAAATTTTTTATGGAGTCATACACTTCGAAAGTGCCCAGAACCAGCACCAAATAGCATCATAAAATTGTAAAATTTTCCAGGGAAGTAGGCCACCCCTCACATCCCCAACAAAACAATTGACAAAAATTCTGAATTTATTTCATGCATTGTCTCAGACACTTTTAAAGTGCCCAGACTTCATCAAATAGCACCTTGATATGGTCAATGTTTCTGGGGGCAGATATGGGGGACAAACACTTGCTCCCCCTCTGGCACCCTAATCCCACATCCCCCTCTGGCACCCCCTTTGACACCCCCCAAAAATTGAAAAAAAGTGCCCGGAAGCACCAAATATCATCTTAAAATTGTAAAATTTTCTAGAAGAGTTGGCCACCCCTCATCCCCCACAAAACAATTGAGAAAATTCTGAATTTCATGTATTGTCTCAGACATTTTTAAAGTGCCCAGACATCATTAAATGGCACCTTGATATGGTCATTGTTTCTTGGGGACAACCCCTTGCCCCCCCCCCCCCCTCTGGCACTCCACCCAACTTCATCCTCTCATTCTCTTTGACATCCCCAAAAAGAATTTGATATTCACTTTAAAAGTACCCAGAAAGCACCAAATGGCATCTCAAAAGTGTAAAATTTTCTAGGGGGAGTGGGTCACTCCTCACAAGTTTGGAAGTTGCATTTGTTAATTTCAAACACTTTAAAAGTGCCTAGAAGTCACCAAGTGACATAATAAAAAAATAAAAATTTCTGGCAGCCCACCCCAAAAACTAAAGCATTCATTTACTCAAGCACATTAAAAGTGCTCAGAATTAACCAGACAGCATCTTGAATAAGTAAAATTTTCCTTGCTGCCCCCTCACTCCCCTAAGCTAAGAAGAAAATGATTGAAAAAATCTGAATTTTTTATAAATAGATTCTATTTCAATTAAAACACCTTGAAAGGGTCCAGAAATCACTGAATGTGATCTTGAACTGGTAAAAGTTCTCGGGCACCCTCTAGTACACCCTCCCCCTATTCCAGTGTTTCTCACACAATATTTAGTCTAAAAACAATACGAAAACAATAAAATACTACAAAATAGGCAGAGTGGCCCCAATATAGGGAGTAACCGACCCCCCCCCTTTAACTTACGCAAATTGATTTACGCGGCAAAAAAAAAATTCTCTTAAGTTAAAACCGCACCCCCCTTGGAGAAAAGTGTCTTACGGGCCTGTATGTTGTTAGTGTTAATAATAAGGGGTTGGGTGTGTAATGTTAAAAAGCGCACTGAACATGTGCTGAATACACACTTCAAGAAAAAAAACTAAATTTTTGTATAATTCTGTACTTTTAGAGAAAATGGGCCACCCTTTCATTAAATCAAGAGCTACAGGTGAAACCATTCCAGAAAAAGACTCAATACCTCAGCCTTATAAAGCTAGAAGTAGACTTCCTGCAGAAGAAAAGGTAAGACCAGTATTAAACACTTTTCACAGTGAGAGGTAATCACATTGAGAGGTATTCACATGGAGAAGTATTCACATTGAGAGGTATTCACATGGAGGAGTATTCACATTGAGAGGTATTCACATGGAGAAGTATTCACATTGAGAGGTATTCACATGGAGAAGTATTCACATTGAGAGGTATTCACATGGAGAAGTATTCACATTGAGAGGTATTCACATGGAGAAGTATTCACATTGAGAGGTATTCACATGGAGAAGTATTCACATTGAGAGGTATTCACATGGAGAAGTATTCACATTGAGAGGTATTCACATGGAGAAGTATTCACATTGAGAGGTAATCACATTGACAGGTATTCAAACAGAGACATTTAGAATTGATTGAGAGGATTTAGCATTGAACGTTGTTCCAATGAGAGGTGTCCAGGTAAAGAGGTGTTCAAATTTTAGAGTCTTTACAATAAGGGAATTAATTACAATCATATTCCAAAAAGTTATCTGAAAAAGTGTTTAGTTTAGAGGTATGTTCTCATGTTGGTATTCATATATTCATATAACATGCTCTTCATTTAGTGATTAAACGATTGGGCCCCTCATATATGATCAGTACTTACATGTATCAATGGCAATTAAATCTGTTAAATCACTTCACATTCAAAGACTAAATACTGATACAGTGAAGTTACAGTTTCACTGTGAACTATTGATTCCATTTTGACATAATAATTTATTGTGTCTTTTGGGAAATAAGTGAAATTAACTAAATGACAGCACTGTGCTCTCACAAGTCAAGGAGAGAAAAAGATAAAACTCGTTCATTCTTAAATCATTCATTTACATAAAAACCTCATTTTGAACAATTCTTAGAATGAAGTACATTTGATCGTAAAAACATTTTGATCACAATATACCCATAATTTCAACTGGTTATAGATTCGAGGGCCTGTAGCCTGCTTTTGCAAAACTGCTTGATATTGGAAGAATCTTGGCTAGAAATTGAAAATATCTCTGATGCACAGGTCTAACCTATGAGGCAAATAGGAATATTTTACTGATAAACTATTAATTTATTGTAAAGCTCTTTGACCAGTACAGTGATCAGTGTTTGAATATTTGTATACATGTAAAGAAGGACCCTGGATTTGAATAATGTTCAATGATCTTTTGCCAAATCTACATTATTGAAGAAAGCTTGAGTTTTGTTCAATGCATGCTACGTAGTCATTATCCAGACTCAATACAAGTCTCTCTCTGAGCAAAAAGGAAATAATATAAGCGCTATATCATGGAGCAAGTTTTCCGTACAGTAAAATAGTTCATTTTAAATAATGACACTAACGCCCTCTATTCCAGCACTACCACTGAACCATATGATTCTGATAAGATGGCAGCAGAATTCTTGATGCAGTTCCCTCAACAAGCATTCACAGTTCGTCAGCAACTCGTTTTCAGCTTTCAAGACAAGAAAATGTTGGGCTTAGTTGTAAAGGAACTTGAAGGTACAAAACACGTTATGGCTTGGTCACATTTGCTCCGATTCATCAGCCCGCGCCCGGCCGATTGCAGTATTTTGTTCAAAACTGATTTCCACTTCTTTCAAATTGACCAAACTTTTTTTTAAAAAACCATGTACAAGTTCTCAGGAGTTCACATCAGACCTCAAATTTGAGATTTGACCTTCAATTTTGAACAAACTACTCAATCGGTTGAGCGCCAGGTGATGAATCGGAGCAAATTTGACCTGGGCAAAATACGCAAAAAATTGTCATAATATACTTGATATACAGAAGGTTCTATTCTCATCTTTAGAAATGGGATCAATGGCAAAGCCATTTTGTTTCACAAGTGCTTACTCCAGTTTTATTGTGTATTTGTTCATGTAAACAGCACAATCATTCCTCAAACTATTTGTATTTGTTCCGTGCTATTTGATACACTAATTTAATGTATTTTTATGAATTTTTAGAGATCGAGTTTTCACAAAGTGGCGTAGCTGGCAAACCGAGAAAGGTAAAAAAGTGAATCTAATGTCCGTTCATTGTAATTTGATAATCTGAAATTGAGATGAAAAGTAGATCTTTGGTAAAACTAAAAGGGGATGAACCCTGAATTGTAATATCATCTGATATTTTAAAATGAGGATGAAAAAATTATTGAGTTTGAAATGTACAAGTCATATTGTAAACAGATAAATCTCAGATCCAAGAGATATTCTAGCATGTTATCCATCTAGAACCTCAGAAATCAGTAGGTATGGGATAAATCTGTCCCAAACCCAAGAGATATTCCAGCATGATATCCACTTTGAACATCAGTAGGTATGGGATGTATAACTGACTGAAATTAATTTGTTAATTGCTACTAATTGTACTTTCAGACCAACATGGGGATCACAATGGGCAATACAACAGTTATCTTCGAAAAGGCTGAGAACTCAAGTGTCAATCTAACAGGAAAATCAAAGGGGTAAATAGGTTTAATGTAAACTTATATTTTCCAATTAGATGTTATCATGTGAATGGTGCAAGGGACTAATATAACTAACTCTCATGCTAAAAAAAATTGTATTAAATGTCTATAAAATAGATTTGAAATGTCATATGTGCTGCTTCTATTTTCTTCACAATTGGGGTGCTATATTGTAATCAATTAGCCGAGTGGGCGGGTATCTCATCACTTTGTCTGTTGTGAATATTTATAGAACAATACTCGTGCAAATTTTCATAATTCTATAAATATAAATTCAATATTAACATTTCAGTAAACAACAGCATCAGTCCATCATCAATCCTGACTGGGACTTCAACAAGATGGGGATTGGTGGTTTAGATAAAGAATTCTCTGCCATCTTTAGGAGAGCATTTGCTTCAAGGGTCTTCCCTCCTGAGCTCATTGAACAGTTAGGTGGGTACATGTATGTGGTAGGGTGTGTGTGTACTTTTGATTTAGAGAAACTTCATTATCCCATTATAGTTGAGATTTGTCAGGATGTCAATTCTTGAAGATAATATGCTATTTTATTTCATGATATTTTTCAAATGTTTTGAAATACTATACAAATATTGAATTCTGTGGAGTTGAATATCTGTATATATTTCTGAAGCTGTATTCACCGCAGCCCGAAGGGCGAGGTGAATACATCCCTAAGAAATATATACATATATTAAACGATCACAGAATTCAATATTTGTTTTATTATTTCCTCATTAGTTTCAACGTATTTCCAAACGTTTGCCAATATTCTGTTATAAATCATGATCTCTATCACACCATAATATATAAAAATTAGATTCGGATCTTCCATGTTAAAGTCCATAGTCTTCGTGCTTTCATTAGTTGATATTTTGAATACATTTGTTACTGTAAAATCTTTATCCCGCGTTTGTTATACAGTATTGAACCTTTTCTTGGGAGGACTTCGTGATACAACTTCACCGTCTGTCATATCGGATGAAAATATTTTTTATTTACTAAATTCCCGGGAATTAAGTGATTTGACATCATTTTTAGTGAATACCACTATTTATTCAATTAAAATGACATCATTTTTAGTGAATACACTCTTCACACGTTTTCTAAGCAGGGAGACAAGGAATACCTCTATATATTTTTAGTCACATGGTATCTAATTGACCAATGATAGAACGAGTATCACGGTATGGAAATAATAAAACATAATATTGAGAATATTCCATATTTACCTCTTTTTCTGCAGAATTGAAAATGATTATTAAGTGAGTCTAGATCATGGCATGGACAGTGTTCAGTGGGAAAAATGGCTACATTGAGTGAATATATTTAATTTAAATAGCATTCGATAAACTGAAATGATGTTATCAGACTCAATATTCTCTATTTGTACCTTTTTTTATTCAGGAATGAAGCATGTGAGAGGTATCCTACTGTTTGGTCCTCCTGGTACTGGCAAGACACTTATGGCCAGGTAAGTACTGGAATATACTGTAATAAGGTTTCTTCACATCTTTGACATTTGTGAAAATGCATATTCTGTATTCTGTTGCTCATGTGTTTGATTTGCTACAGCAAAACAAGCAGATGTATTTTACTAGCCTCAAGAATATTTCTGATATCTTTGATATCATATTTTAATAATCTTTACAATTACCTCATAGATTTTAACAACAAAGTTTTCTCCACCAAGTGTCAATTTTTAAGCAGTTATCCATTTTCCCTCAATTTTCAGCAGTATATTTTTTGAACACTTAAATTCAGTTTTTGCTATTAATTTTCATGGGATAAAAAGTAATTCTATAATAATGATAGCCCAAGATGAAACTATAAGTCCATGTACCATATTTTACTTATTTCTTTTACCATATCCAGGCAGATAGGCAAGATGTTGAATGCCAGGGAGCCTAAGATTGTGAATGGTCCCCAGATATTGGACAAATATGTTGGTGAATCTGAGGCCAACATACGTAAACTCTTCGCTGAAGCTGAGGAAGAGGAGAAAAGGGTACGTCAGTCATACACATTTTGTAGTCATCTTTAAATTCCAGTTTTGGTCAAGATGTTAAATTATTGCATCATTAAACAAATAGTGAATGGTTTGAGCTCTATTATATCTATTTACACTATGACCAAGTAAATAAAACTAAGAAAAGTTTTATAGTTGCTTGTAGTTTTAGTTGTAGTTTGTCGTTGGTAATAGTTTTGATCACAACTGCAAGAATGTAATGGGGATGTATCAGATATGAAGAGTATAGGGAAACATATTGTTTTTTATTTGATAATCATTATTTATCTTTTCTGAATTCTATTTACAGTGCGGTCCTATGAGTGGTCTCCATATTATCATCTTTGATGAGATAGATGCTATATGCAAGGCCAGAGGATCTGTGGTACGTTACAGTCTCATATTTCAAATGCTAAGACCAATCAAGGGTGAACACAATACCTGGGATGTGCCTCATTCGTTATTTCAGTGTATTTCGTGTTTAACTTTTTGTCCCAGATCTTGTTTCATTTGGTGCACATACTAAGCCCCGGGTATTAAATAAGCCTTTGGACAAATGTCTCCCCTAAGTAAATAAAGTATACTCCTGTTAAAATTGTAGATTAAATTATGTATATTGAGACATAATATGTGAGGTTAGTGGACTGATAAAGTAATCCATTCTTTGACTCTTAAAACTATCAAATATGACTTTGTCCACCCCTAAGTCATGGCTGTATATACTCAAACACACTGCTACATGTGCAACCATAGGTTATTCTATAAGTTTATGTATTCCAGGTTGGTAGTACAGCTGTACATGATACTGTCGTCAACCAGTTACTTGCCAAGATTGATGGTGTCGACCAACTCAACAATATTCTCATCATAGGTAACAGGACTTGATGTCTCAGAATTGGGCCATTGTACAAAACTGATGACTCATCAACATTTAGGATTAATGTTAAAGAGAGATTTTTTCCAAATCCTTAGTTTTTTAAGAGAATCATTTAATGTTGACATCATATATTTTATAGTATGTACATGAATCCCCCACAAGACTAAATACCATTCATACCAATAGTCACCAAACTGCATTGTACATTTCTGCTATGTTGTCACACCAATCCATATATTCATTGTCCTGTCATTAGCTATTATAAGTTATTATTGACATTATATAAGAGAAACTATAAAAACTAAATCGATTCAACTTCATTTAGGTATGACCAACAGGAAAGACATGATAGATGAGGCCTTGATAAGACCAGGCAGACTGGAGGTCCAGATGGAGATAGGACTGGCTGATGAAAAAGGTCGGCTACAGATTATCAACATACATACTCAGAAAATGATTGAAAATAATAAGATAGCAAGTGATGTCGACATGAAAGAGTTGGCTGCAGAGACTAAGAATTTCAGTGGTGCTGAGATTGAGGGTCTGGTCAGAGCAGCCACATCTACAGCAATGAATAGGCTCATTAAGGTACGTTCATTTTATGCATGGTTCACTGCTAAAGTTGGAAACATGAATGCCACAGTTAAACATATTGGCTTTCAGTTTCAGCAGTGTCCAATAGGGAACTGTTATTTCCAAGTTTATTGACAAGAGTGACAAGTGATTGCCATTGGCAGTTTGACAGCTATGAGTTTAAGGCTATTAGGCTTTAAGGCTTTAGGTATTGGTGTACAGTTTTTTATGCATCAATAATTTCACATACAGTCATAAAATCATGATTTTACAAGGACCGTCCAATTTCAAAATTCCTCCAAATATTGCTAAAATTGTCATGGACGACTTTTAAACTATCTTTGTATTCGATGGCATGATTGATTGCAGTATTTTTACTTCAAAAGTATAATTACAAATATTAATTCATTGTATGTATACCTAATTCCAGGCATCATCCAAAGTAGAAGTTGACACAGATGCCAGTGAAAAACTCCAAGTATGCAGGGCTGATTTCTTTAATGCATTAGCTAATGATGTTAAACCAGTAAGTATTACTTGATTTTTGCAAAATAGTGATTCAACTAAACCATGATATACTCATATGATTAAGTTATTTTGGATATTTTTTACTATTTTTTATCTATTACCTCTTTAAAAATAAATAAAGATTTAGAACTTCTTTCATCAACAAATGTGCTATGAGCTCATTTCAGGGAAACTAAATCAAAAATCAAATAAACTTATTTCACTAAACAGAATATAATTGGCCTTAGTACAATTCAAATTCTTTGTTCATGTCTTCTAGGCATTTGGTATAAGCCTTGTGGAGTTTGATAAATATGTTGCCAATGGTGTCGTCAATTGGGGAGACCCTGTGAGGAGGGTTCTTGAAGATGGAGAACTACTCATTAATCAAACCCGGACAAGTGAGCGCACACCTTTGGTTACGGTGCTTCTAGAGGGTGAGTTTATATTGGAGAATATTTTAAATGAATATTCCTTACCAGACCATTTCTCTCTCTCTTTAATATGGTAACTATAACCATATATAATTATATTTGACATAATTTCCTGTATGATATCTTAAAAGATGGCAGCCTTCTGGACAGGAGCACTTCATTTTTAATGATCAATATTGACCATATCAAAAGATTTTCCAGTGTTTTGTGCGATATGGAAAGTATATAGTGGTTGTAGCTACCATTAATAGGAGAGAAATGGCTGGCAAGGAATAACCCATTAGGGGCCTGGCCAAATATGAATGTCTTTCAAATTAAAGTAAATTCGTGTGGGGGAGAGAATAAGTCTTACTTAAGCATAAATGAATTTAGATGAATCATTTTACATTTGCTTAATTCGAAATCTGCCCCAGTTGATATTTTTCACAGTTGTGTCAACTTCTAAATGTAATTGAAGACATCATTGAAATCTCGCATTGATTTTGAAATAATTTACAAGAAACTTCTTATTTCTAAGCTAATTACCTCTTTAACAGTCAAGGATCAAATATAATCTCAAAATTGGCATTTGGTGTCTGCTGACGAGTATACGCATTCAAGAAATAGTTAGTGAGAATGTTAGTTAATAAGAATGTTAGTTAGCCAATAAGAATATTGAGTAGTCTTGGAATATAATTAATGTGTTCTTTTATTACATAGGTCCTCCCAATAGTGGAAAGACAGCCTTAGGAGCACGTATTGCCAAGAACTCAGACTTTCCATTCCTCAAGTTTTGTTCCTCCGAGGACATGGTAGGCTACACAGAGGCTGCTAAATGTCAGGCTATCAAGAAGGTGGGTGTAGTACTAATCAAAGGGTGTTAAAAAAAAACAGAATTTAGCTTAGCACATCAGTCTTATATCAGTTTGTTTTAGGAAAATAGCTAGACAACTAGTCCAACCGGCTGTATGAAATCCATTAGTAGCTCTTTCCTGATCCCTTTATCATCATGTATTTATCTGACATTGTCTTTTTTCTTTGTCTTCCCTTTCAGATTTTCGATGATGCCTACAAGTCTTCGCTCAGCTGTATTATACTAGATGACATAGAGAGACTATTAGGTACTGCTATTTAACAGATATCTAACAGTTTTTCTTAAAATGATAATTTAGTGAATAATTAAGAATGATTTACAAACTTATTTTTATGGTTGTGATTAGCGTGCAGTTACTGTTAATAAGAAGGTTACTAAGAATCAACAGTTACATGTTTTGGACAACTTTGTTTTAGTCACTCAGAAAGTAAAAGTCTTAAGTTGTTATAATATAACATATCCAATGCTGTAAAATGTAAATTGATATATAAATAGAGCTAAGTGAATTTGTATATACAATATACTGACCATGTTACTATGTTTTTCAGATTATGTGCCAATTGGTCCTAGGTTTTCCAACTATGTACTTCAGGCTCTTCTAGTGCTTCTCAAGAAGATACCTCCAAAGGTATGAATAATTGGCCTCATGCTTCAATTTACTTGACAATTTTTATCACAGTAAAATGGTTTCAGACACCTGTGTTGACTGTTACCACCACAAGTGATGATGACATACTGTTATGGTCTTCAACTTTTTTTGGGGATGGTGTTTGACATTCAGAGGTCGGTGTTCATATTCAGCATCTGTAACAAATGGCAGGTTGTCACATGCCATTTTACATGTTACTGCCTTGTTTATAGACATACTTTTAAAGAGAGAATAACATATGCAATTTATGTATGGTATCACAGTATCCATCATTCCCTCATAATATCAACAACAGTTTGATAATTTTTTCTTTGTGTATATGGAGTTAACCAACTGACGACTGACTTAAATTTCTGTTTTGTATTGAATGATTATAAACAATCTGACGATTGATTTATATTTCTTTCATGTAACTAGTCAACTCATATGTATTGTAGGGTCTTAAAGTTACTGATGATTGATTTATATTTCTTTCATGTTACTAGTCAACTCATATGTATTGTAGGGTCTTAAAGTTACTGATGATTGATTTATATTTCTTTCATGTTACTAGTCAACTCATATGTATTGTAGGGTCTTAAAGTTACTGATGATTGATTTATATTTCTTTCATGTTACTCGTCAACTCATATGTATTGTAGGGTCTTAAAGTTACTGATGATTGATTTATATTTCTTTCATGTTACTAGTCAACTCATATGTATTGTAGGGTCTTAAAGTTACTGATGATTGATTTATATTTCTTTCATGTTACTAGTCAACTCATATGTATTGTAGGGTCTTAAAGTTACTGATGATTGATTTATATTTCTTTCATGTTACTAGTCAACTCATACGTATTGTAGGGTCTTAAAGTTACTGATGATTGATTTATATTTCTTTCATGTTACTAGTCAACTCATATGTATTGTAGGGTCTTAAAGTTACTGATGATTGATTTATATTTCTTTCATGTTACTAGTCAACTCATATGTATTGTAGGGTCTTAAAGTTACTGATGATTGATTTATATTTCTTTCATGTTACTAGTCAACTCATATGTATTGTAGGGTCTTAAAGTAACTGATGATTGACTTATATTTCTATTGTGTAATTTACTGTTTGCATTGTAGGGTCGCAAACTGATGGTCATAGGCACCACCAGTCGTAAAGATGTCCTCGAAGAGATGGAGATGCTAAGTGTATTCAGTGCAGTTGTTCATGTGTCCAACATCTCTACCAGTGAACACCTTGTCACTGCTCTAGAGCAACTGGAATCCTTTACCAAAAATGAACTGGCAAGAATAGAAGCAAAAACAAAAGGCAAAAGGTATGTCCTTGTCACATGCTTGCCAGAATTTTGTAATACATATTATTTCAAACTATCTGTAATTTTGTAATACAAATTATTTCAAACTATCTGTAATTTTGTAATACAAATAATTTCAAACTATCTGTAATTCTGTAATACAAATTATTTCAAACTATCTGTAATGTTGTGATACAAATTATTTCGAACAATTCCAATCCATTATTATATTAATAGTACAATAACGTCATTTCTAAGGGCTCGCATTATTACCACCGTTAACGACCGGGACTGAAACAGCAAGAAAATCTTACGCATTGAACAATATCTAATTTCCCGGGGAAAATTGCCGGTCAAGAATATATTCTAGACCGGTCCATATGGACCACCACTATGACGTCACACATTTCTCAGGTCGATATAGTAAAATGAATGCCTTCTAAACTAGCACTAAAACCCCTAGAACTGGCCCGGCAAGGTGGTAATAATGGGTTATTTTTAGATTGCAAATGTATTCCAACATAAGTACCTTAATACCTAATAGGTTATTTTTGGATAGTTTTTAAAAATGGCATCTTAACACTTTTTAAAGGAAATGTTTGTTGTTTTTAAGATTATGGTTGGGTATCAAGAAGCTCCTCGTATTGGTTGAAATGGCTAGACAGGTCAGTAACTAAATTAATATTTAATATCTGCACTGACTTATATGTCATCTATGTGTCAAAATGCATTGAGGTCATTTCCTCAAGGTGACATAATGGCAAATATTTTTAAAAATCTTTATAGTAAGATCAATTAGTTATACATCATACCTTCGAATCATATTTTTAATTTATTTTTCATTGTCTGTACTGTAGTCTTCAAAACATATTTACATAAAGTATTATTCCATGAACTCCATTCCACCATATTTCAATAAAGGGTTCTTTAATTTCAGAGTGAGGAAGAGTTCCGTGTATCAAAGTTCCTGTGTTTGTTAGAGGAGGAAGGAGGTCTAGCATGATGTCATAGTGGTAGCAAATTATCTTGAAAATTATGTTGTGATGTCTTGTAATTATAATGATAAACTCTTCTTATATGATGTTTAGCTTATTTTGATGTTTTGGGGATGTCACATTATTGATGTCATGTTACTTGACATCAGACTCTGTTACATGTTACTCATGCCTGATGTCAACTGTTTCACCATTCTTATTGTCAAATTGTGTTTTCTGACACATGATGCTTAGTGACACATGATTTCAACTAGTCACATAATTTGCCAAGTGACACATGATTTCAACTAGTCACATAATTTGCCAAGTGACACATGATGTCAACTAGTGTCACATACTGAAAAGTGACACATGATGTCAACTAGTGTCATATATTGAAAAGTGACACTAATGTAAATCCAAGTTATAAAGTAAGTCAAATAATTTACACTCAGTAATTTTTGGTTGTATATAAGTATAAATGTAACTAAAACTGTTCCCAAGTAGAATCTGTTATGAAACGTTACGATACATGAATAACATGAAGCATTCCAAAGCAGGACTTATTGAGCAATAATTCCATGTTCTCATTCAGATTGTTACTAATGCCACAGTCACATTTGATATGCAGCAATCCTACGGCGGCCATAGCTTCCCAAAAGTCGAGAGAAATACGTAGATACGATTTAGATTTTCTGTATCGATTTTGTTAAGCAAATGTGACTGCAGTTTAAACTGACATGTTTAGGGTTGTTGTTCAACCTGATCTGACATTTCAATAACAATATATAGGTTGCATAGCCAACCAATCAGAGTGCAATATTGTCATTTCAGTAATAGATTTAGTTCAGGCTGTTTTTAAAGAGCAAAATGATGCCATGAACCAAAAGTAGCATACAGTTAACCTCCTTAAGTTAAATACATGAAAGACTTCAATCTTTGGTGTATTCATCTTCGAGAGCTGAATTTAACATGCAAATCAATAGGAGAAATAAAAACGAGACCCATGGAAAAGTGTTCATCTAAGATGAGTGCTCAACTTGAGGCATGTTGCTGTATTTAACTTTCTGATGCTAGAAACATTGTGGGTACGATTTCAATGATGGCAATTCTAAAAAAATGCTGTGATCGTGCTTTTACTGTAATTCCAAGTAATGTATATTTCAACAATATCATGCACATATCCTAAATGTTATAAAGAATGCATGCAATCAAATACTTCTTTCTGATCAAATCATCTCTTCCCAATTTCTTTGAAGTGTTTCATCGTAAATGCATTGAAATAAACGCAATTTATTTTAAACTAGTGGACTTAAATCAATCATGTGGAATAGTATTTGTTTGTAGAATACTGTAAAACTGTAAATAGAATTATAAACTAGAAAATATTTATATGATGTCTCTATGTAGCAAATAAAAGATATGAATATGCAAAACAATATTGTTTGTGATTTTGGCAATATGAATTTATTTTACATTATATACAATAGATAGTACATTTGTAGGTCTATAAACAGTGAAGTAAAATATGCTCCATGTATCAAAAACACGGAAACAAGCTCCTTTAAGCCAGGGTATGCTCCATGGAGCTTGTTTGTAATTGTATTATAGTCTGACAGATGACTCTCAACAATGTCGTCTTCATATATTGGATCAATGTCTAATCAATCTAAAACATCAATTTGATCATTCCTGTGTCTCCTCGCCCTATAATGTTTGCTTGTATTGTACGGCAATTATGAGATTCAGCTAATACATGGATTCACATCATGTTATGTTATACACTTCCAATTTCTCTGAAACAATGCATTTGGTAAGCAACATATACTCTAAGAGCGAGGAGGAAAATTCTTAATAAATGGAGTATAGTTGGTTTGGCAGCATTTTCAGTTAGAGGGAAGTCTTGGATGAAAATTCTACCTAGGTGATAGCTTCACAGAGTGGTACATAATTCTTTTTTTTCAGGGGTTAGCCCCCCACCCCCCAAAAACACCCCACCCCCGGAAAATAATTTTTTCATTCTTAATAATTTTAGATATCTTGATGTTTGTAAGTTACATACATAGACATTATATATATGAATCATTTGCAAAATAAATAATGCCAATCACTCCAACAGAATTTGGAAAATACTACAAAGTATGTACCCCAGGGGGCAAATTCGTGACCCATTTTCTTACTATTTAGAGCCTCACTTTTCAATCAGACACTGGAAGACATTGAAAAATTTCATGTGAAGTGCCCAGTAGCAGGCTATAAGCCCTGAAAGGTTTAAACTAATTGAATTAGTAGGAGCCGAGAAAAAAATTGTTGATTTTTTGAAAAATTTGACATTTTTGAGAGGGGTGATTTTGTGTATGACTATAGCTGATGCCTATGGTTTCCAGATCTATCCCTCTTTGATGATAAATATGGTTTTGAAGTATGGAACTAAGATGTAAAAAATAATTAAAATGGGTTTTAAGGAAGTTTAATGTATAAACAAGTTCAAAATTCGAAGAATTGTACAATATCAGGTCTGAATTTACAAATTTTAGGTAAGACCTTGGATGAGCCTTAGATTTTTTACATCTGTCCCCCTTTGATGATATTTATGGCTTTGTAGTGTGGAACTAAGATGTACAAAATAATTTAGATGGTTTTTAAGAAGGTTTAAAGATTTTAACAAGTTCAAAATTTGAAGAATTGTACAATATCAGGTCTGAATTTACGAATTTCAGGAAAGACCTTTGGTGAGCCATATATTTTTCACATCTGTCCCTCTTTGATGATATGTATGGTTTTGTAGTGTGAAACTAATATGTAAGAAATAACCTAGATGGTGTTGAAGAAGGTTTAAGGAATTTAATGAGTCCAAAATTTGAAAAATTGTACAATATCAGGTCTGAATTTATGAATTTAAGGTATGACCTTGGATGACCCTTATGTTTTTATATCTGTCCCTCTTTAATGATATTTATGCTTTTAAAGTAACAAACTAAAATGTAAAAAATAATTTAGATGAATTTTAAGAATGTTTAAGGATTTTAACAAGTTCAAAATTTGAAAAATTGTATAATATCCGGTCTGAATTTACGAATTTCAGGTAAGACCTTTGATGAGCCATATATTGTTTACATCTGTCCCTCTTTGATGATATGTATGGTATTGTAGTGTGGAACTAAGATGTAAAAAAACAATAAAGATGGATTTTAAGAAGGTTTAAGGATTTTCACATGTTCAAAATTTGAAAAATTGTATAATATCCAGTCTGAATTTACGAATTTCAGGTAAGACCTTTGGTGAGCCATATATTGTTTACATTTGTCCCTCTTTGAAGATATGTATGGTTTTGTAGTGTAGAACTAAGATGTAAAAAAGATGTAAAAAACAATTAAGATGGATTTTAAGAAGGTTCAGTGATCATGTTCAAAATCTTGGCGCATTGTACAATATTAATTCGGCAATTAACACTACATTTCAAGTATAACCTTGGTTGGCTCTAAACATTTAGAAAAAATTGTTGACATGGGGTCCCAATTTATAATTTTTCATGGGGACTTCACTTGAAAGAAAATATATATTTTTTTAATAAAAACCACTGTATTTATGCCCAGAAAGTACTCATGGTGAAATATATGACCATCTAAAATCACTTGCCATACTGCACATGGACCTTTTTGAATATTTCTGGCTTATGTCATTCCTTTTCATGTCTATTTGCTAATAATCCCCAAAGTGCACACTTAATTTCAGGAAAATTAAAGATTTCTACAATAATGTATTATTTTTCTATAAGAATGGTAACCATTCTTATTATTTTGGGAGAATTTAATTTTTGCTTTTTGAATCCATTATTACTTCATCAATTTTTAACACATCATGAATCTTTTTGGAGATATTGTATTTGAGATTGTAAGGAATAGATTGGTACATGAATTGTACATGTTGCTTGTAATTTTGTCACACCCATAGATCTGATTCTGCCTTTAAACTTCCTTAAAACCCATTTAAATTATGTTTTACATCTAAGTTCCATACTACTAAACCATATATATCATCATAGAGAGATACATACCTGAAATTCGTTAATGTCAGAAGATATGATATTGTACAATTTGTCAAGTTTTGAACAGGTTTAAAACCCTAAACCTCCTTAAAACTCATCTAAATTATGTTTTACATCTTAGTTTCATACTACAAAACCATATTTGTTATCATTCTTCAATTTTTTATATTGTTTAAACCTTAAGCTTCTTTAAAACCTGTCTAAATTTTGTTTAACATCTTAGCTCAACACTAATAAAGCATATATGTCATCAAAAGGGGATAGATGTAAAAAACATAAGGCTCACCTAAATACCCAATATTCATTAATATCAGTTCTGATATTGTACAATTCGTCAAAATTTGAACTTGTTTAAAACCTTAAACTTCTTTAAAACCTGTCTAAATTTTGTTTTACATCTTAGTTCAACACTACTAAAGCATATATGACATCAAAAAGGGATAGATGTAAAAAACATAATACCTAAAATTCATTAATATCAGCTCTGATATTGTACAATTTGTGAAAATTTGAACTTATTTAAAACCTTAAACTTCTTTAAAACCTGTCTAAATTTTGTTTTACATCTTAGTTCAACACTACTAAAGCATATATGACATCAAAAAGGGATAGATGTAAAAAACATAATACCTAAAATTCATTAATATCAGCTCTGATATTGTACAATTTGTGAAAATTTGAACTTGTTTAAAACCTTTAACTTCTTTAAAACCTGTCTAAATTTTGTTTTACATCTTAGTTCAACACTACTAAAGCATATATGACATCAAAAAGGGATAGATGTAAAAAACATAATACCTAAAATTCATTAATATCAGCTCTGATATTGTACAATTTGTGAAAATTTGAACTTATTTAAAACCTTAACTTTCTTTAAAACCCATCTTGATTATGTTTTATATATTAGCTCTACACTACTAAATCATATATATCATCAAAAAAGGATAGATGTAAAAAATATAAGGGCCAAGCAAGGTTATACTTTAAATTCATTTAAAAATTTTAAAATTCATTTCAGATTTGATATTGTACAATACGCCAAGATTTTGAACTTGTTTAAAATGTTAAGCTTCTTTAAAATCTATGTAAATTATGTTATACATATTCCCACACAACTAAACCAAATATATCATGAAAAGGGGATAGGTGTTAAAATCATATGGACTAACCAAGGTTATACTTGAAATTCATTCATTGCAGACCTGATATTGAACAATTCTTCAAATTAAAATCCTTAAACCTTCTTAAAATGCATCTAAATTATTTTTTTACATCTTAGTTCCACACTACAAAACCATACATATCATCAAAGAGGGATAGGTGTAAAAAATATAAGGCTCATCCAAGATCTTACTTAAAATTTGCAAATTCAGACCTGATATTGTACAATTCTTCAAATTTTGAACTTGTTAGAATCCTTAAACCTTCTAAAAATTCTGCTAAACTATATTTTACATCTTAGTTCCATACCATAAAACTATAACTGTCATTAAAGAGGGACAGATGTAAAAAATAAAAGAGTCGTCCAAGGTCATACCTATAATTCGAAATTTCAGACCTGATATTGTATAATTCTTTAAATTTTGGACTCAAAAATCCCTAAACACTCTTCAAAACCATCTTAATCATTTTTAACATCTTAGTTCAACTTTACAAAACAATACATCATCAAAGAGTGACAAATGTAAAACATAAGAGCCATCCAAGGTCTTACCTGAAATTCGTAAATTCAGACCTGATATTGTACAATTCTTTCAAATTTGGAACTTGTTAAAATCCTCAAATCTCTTAAAATTCATCTAAATTATATTTTACATCTTAGTTTCACACTATAAAACCATAAATATCATCAAAGAGGAACAGATGTAAAAAACAAAAGGGTCGTCCAAGGTCATACCTGAAATTCGAGAATTCAGACCTGATATTGTACAATTCTTCAAATTTTGGACTCATTGAAATCCCTAAACACTCTTCAAAACCATCTAAACCATTTTTACATCTTAGTTCCACACTACAAAACAATACATATCATCAAAGAGTTACAGATGTAAAAACATAAGAGCCATCCCAGGTCTTACCTGAAATTCGTAAATTCAGACCTGATATTGTACAATTCTTCAAATTTTGAACTAGTTAAAAATCCTTAAACCTTCTTAGAATACATCTAAATTATATTTTACATCTTAGTTCCACACTATAAAACCATAAATACCATCAAAGAGGGAAGGATTTAAAAGACATAAGGGTCATCCAAGGTCATACCTGAAATTCATAAATTCAGACCTGATATTGTACAATTCTTCAAATTTTGGACTCATTTAAAATCCTTAAACTTTCTTCAAATCAATCTTAATTATTTTTTACTAATTAGTTTCACACTACAAAACCATACATATCATCCAAGAGGGACAAATGTAAAAAATATAAGGCTCATCCAAGGTCTTACCTGAAATTCATAAATTCAGACCTGATATTGTACAATTCTTCAAATTTTGAACTTGTTAAAATTCTTAAACCTTCTTAAAAACCATCTAAATTATTTTGTACATCTTAGTTTCATACTACAAAACCATAAATATCATCAAAGGGGGACAGATGTAAAAAATCTAAGGCTCATCCAAGGTCTTACCTAAAATGTGTAAATTCAGACCTGATATTGTACAATTCTTCGAATTTTGAACTTGTTTAAAACATAAAACTTCCTTAAAACCCATTTTAATTATTTTTTACATCTTAGTTCCATACTTCTAAACCATATTTATCATCAAAGAGGGATAGATCTGGAAACCATAGCCATCAGCTATAGTCATACACAAAATCACCCCTCTCAAAAATGTCAAATTTTTCAAAAAATCAACAACTTTTTTCTCGGCTCCTACTGATTCAATTAGCTTGAACCTTTCAGGGCTTATAGCCCTGCTACTGGGCACTTCACATGAAATTTTTCAATGTCTTCCAGTGTCTGATTGAAAAGTGAGGCTCTAAATAGTAAGAAAATGGGTCACGAATTTGCCCCCTGGGGTACATACTTTGTAGTATTTTCCAAATTCTGTAGGAGTGATTGGCATTATTTATTTTGCAAATGATTCATATATATAATGTCTATGTATGAAACTTACAAACATCAAGATATCTAAAATTATTAAGAATGAAAAAATTATTTTCCGGGGGTGGGGTGTTTTTGGGGGGTGGGGGGCTAACCCCTGAAAAAAAAGAATTATGTACCACTCTGTGAAGCTATCACCTAGGTAGAATTTTCATCCAAGACTTCCCTCTAACTGAAAATGCTGCCAAACCAACTATACTCCATTTATTAAGAATTTTCCTCCTCGCTCTTAGAGTAATATACATTGTCTTAGACCAGAAACATATGCAGTTATTTTAATAGGTATATTGTATTGCTTTCTTTAGAATACTGATGCTTTTGGTGATCAGAAACGATTGTAATGCTTTGAAATGCTAACAATTAACCCAACAATTAAAACAAGTTGGTATGGATTCTTATGTTGTTTTCAGTAATTTATCACGCATATAGGATTCTGTCATCCAGTCTGTCATTAGTCGTATTTATCATGGGTAAGTGATACCTATTGGTTATCTGCCAACAATACTTGACACTTATGTTGATTGAAAGCTATGAAAATCAGGAAATCCACTGGAATAATTTAATTTTGAGAGACATGTCAAAATACCCTGAGCACACAGCTTAGTTATAAACTACCATCGAGTGAAGGCGAAGCACTCTTTTAAGAAGCGAAGTCGAACGAATGCAATGGGTAATGTCAAAACTTATAAAAATATTTTATGAATGAATGAATAAAATCTACCATGTTTAGATTTCATTGATAGAAAAGTACTATTTTAATTTCAAAAGTAAAATAAAGTTGATTTGATTTAAGTGCAAATTATATAAATTCCTTATATGTAATTGTGAAACATAAAGATATTACCCTTTGTATTCGTTTGACTTCACTTCTTAAAAGAGAGCTTCGTCTAATTTAACTAGACTCTGCACGCAGGGTATAAAGATATAAAATGTTACACTGAAAATTAAAGTAGATTTTCTTAAAACCTTTTGAATAACCCACCACAGGCAGTGCCTGGCAGGAAGTCAGCCTTGAATTGTTTATGAATTACAGATTTATCTTGGTGTCATTTTAGTATCACATGAATTGACATCAATATGACATGACACGCTCTCTCATGTCAGTTAATAAACAAAAAGTTTATTGGAAGTTGTTACTCTAAAATCAGTGATTTCTAACTTACTTTACCAATAGCTTTGCAATGCATGGCTGACACATTTTAACGTTCACGGATCAATAATTAATTAATTAATTAATTGAATGATCTCTTCAAACTATATTTGGTTCATGGATCTTGTTAACTAAATCATGTTGACATTATCTGATCGGACAGTGACAAACTGCATTTCAAAATGATCTCCATTCAACCAGGATGCATAGACTACGATTATAAATCGTAAACTGACGATGGCGAGTCTGCCTTCAATCGCCTATTAGGGTTTATTTTACCTCAATAACTGACTACAGACATCTATGATTTGTAACACATGGACCTACTCAGTAAAAATGATTTATAAAGTGGGTTTAAACATATTTTAGACACCTATGTCTTGGTGCAACTTATTGTTTCTTTATCGTCTTGAATTTAGAAATCATCAATTCTTTCTCATTAAGCACTTTTTATGAAGTTGTTCTTCAGACTCTTTACATTTAACTCTTTGCTGCAACTTAAACATTAAAACAGATCGTCAGTAAAAATTATTTTACATACAAAACTGTACACGTTTTTATAAAGTAACTTCTATAAACTGAAGCACATCTTTTTACATAATTTACATTGTGTACAACTCACTAAGCATGCAATGATATACATGACGTCGAATGTTCCGTTCTTGTGACGTCATTCACGTAAACGCTCCATGAATCACTATATTCACGTTGTTATTCAAGGGTGAAAGTAAGACCCGAACAAAATGCAGTCGCAAATTCAGTTTTACGCGATCGCATTTTTAGCGTATCGTCTTTCTAATTATTAAGTAGCAACAAGTGCTTTTTCCTTAGCTTTATTATCATCATTATGATTATTCACTTTCGTGCTGCAATAGTGATCACACAACATTGTCACTATCAAAGATGGCACTGTCTGTTTATGCATTACACTTCGAGTCATATTTTCTCTTGAAATATCCGTGAATCCAGTCTTCAACTACAACTGAACATAAGTATAAAAGTTCCTTGCATCGTTCAACGCATCAAAAAATAGCTTGCCAGCTCACAACAGTCTATCACGTTAACTGTTTCGTAGAAAGACGTTTGTAATTGACGTTGCTAATACCATAAGTCAATTGACGGCAATGTTGCCCATTTGACGTAAAAACGTACATCTTCTATTGAACTGACGCTGATTCGACGTTATTTTACGCTATACAACGTTCAAATGACAACACATAGATTACGTCATCATCGATTTTATCCTTCCAGGCATTATTTGCAGACCGTCACCCATTCATTGTATACACACTTTTGGCATATTACGTAACAGCACCAATGAAACTTGCAATGGCAACGTTCATTACGTACCACACGTAACGTATTATATCCACGTCCACAACATAACGTTTCACAATTGTCAATCCCGTTACTGGATTTGTTGCATAATCGTCCAGAAGTTCCCGGTGAATCCACTTTGTGGTTTTTGTCACAGAAGTTTGGAGATTTTTCAAAATATACCAAATCTGTATCGTATGGTTCTTTTTTAAATGATGGATATAACAAGCTTAGTTTACCCTCTACCGAATTACTGTTTGCCACCTGGAAATGAAAAGAATAACTCAATATTACTTGGATTAATGTAGAATGTAACATGATTACAAACTACCATTACACGATAGACTAATATTGCAAGTATGAGGATATTAAAGTGTACGCACATTTTTATTGATCACGCTTACTGATTGTATCATATATTTCCACCATGGTAAATATTTCATTCTCTTATTTACAACTACAGAAGAAATAAAAAAGCAAAAGTAGAAAGGCAACACAATATCAAGCTTCACCATCATGCACTGGCCCTGCCCCTTCTATGTGCTCCAATTTTCGATGTCTATTGTCTATTAATCGACCCCTCCCTAGAACTTATTTCAGCATTCGTAACACGAATCTGTTAATCCACGGTAGAATCCACCGTGGCCTATCAGAATTCGGTTACAGTCGTTATAGTTAACAGAGTTTTACAGGGTGGACCAAAAAACCAATACCCGAGTAAAAAGATGGACGATTCATATAATATATGTTAAACCATGCCATGTTTTATATATGATTTTAAGGATAAATCATTTCCTAACAAAATGACACCATCCAATTTAAAAACCTTTGTTTTCTCGTGGAGTTAGAGACTAAAATTGACACCAGAGGTACCGTAGGTGACCAAAAACAAAAAAAATGAAAATTCCCTTTTCCCTTCATATTGCAGTCACAGCTGCACCCAATATGCTTGACTGAATCATCATAAATTTGTTTAAGAGTAATACACAATTGATAATAAATTATAAACATATACGTATTATTGCTTAATTTTGCACTATACTTGTATAAATGTACCTCCTTTGAAGGTGCCAAAGTTCAAATTGCCCTCCATTTTCCACAATTTGGAAATCTGCAGTGAATAATTCTTTGCACCCCTGGTGTCAATTTTAGCCTCTATCTCCACAGGAAAACAATGGTTTTTCAATAAGATGAAGTCATACTGTTAGGAAATGATTTATCATTAAAATGATATACAATACATGCCATGGCTTAACGTTATATCATACGACATTCATAAACTTGGGTATTGTTTTTTTGGCCCATCCTGTATATTTATAAAAGCATCAGTAACAATTGACACAAAAGCAAAAAACACATTAGCAAGTATACCATAACCCATAATCCAAAAAGCCAACATAAAATGCATGCAAATGTGAAGCATGATACACTGCTGCCCTCTATCGGGCCATACCTCTACCTGTGTAGCTGCATTATATTTTTCTTTGAGTGACTCGCCTATGCCCCTAAACTCTGGGGCAGCTTTCCAACACGTTTTCAGCTCGCAGCTACCAGACATGCCGTGACACTTACACTTTGTCTGCACGTGTTTATGTACCATCTGCAAAATAAAAATGCAAGTTGAACCCACTTAATTACAATATGAGGTCCCAACCGGGGGGGGGGGGGGGGGTCGATATACTGTGGAACAAAGTTCCAAATCCCGTCGTACCTCATTTGCCTACGTTGAGCCTACACTCTCTCGAAAGGTTTAGCAAATCTAACTTCCCCATTGGATTTCGTGTTAAAGCCTATTTATGTTTGAATTCTATTTGCATTATCCGTAAAGAAAAAACAACTCTTGTTCGTAAATTGATGACGAATCTGGTAAAATTTTGAAATAATCAACATTCGCATTTAAACCAATGGGAATAGTTTGTGGCAAGTCGTATGACAGATTTGAGTTGTTGCAAACATACAAGTTAAGTAGACAATTGAATTTGCTAGCTAAAAAAAAAATACAAAGTTATACGCAATCAAAATTATATTGAGAAACCTCTCTTATTGAAATAAAACTAGGAGGCGTAAATTATTTTCAAAAATGACTTTGAAGCTCTGTGACTGTGACAAAGGAAACTAAACACATAGCTTGCAAAAAGGTTTCAATTATCAATATGAAAATATTTTTTGGTGAATATTTTCACCGAATAAATATTCTTAAATCTGATTTGCCCCGAACCATTTCGCAAATTGGTTTACATGGGAAAGAAGACGATTTTCAAAAATTTATCAAATATGTCATCAATTTTCGACTTATTGTAATGGAGGAAAAATTGGGAAAGTTGGAGGTATAGGAAAAAAATTCAAGTTACACTTTTCATTGTAGGTTACGTAAATAAAATTCAACCATAAAGACGCGTTAACAATGGGTGAGCTAAGGTTCCAAACTTTTTAGGCGTCAAATTTTAATTGGGACGACTAACATGGAAGATATCAAAATGTTATTTCAGCCTCTAAAAAGAGACTTTCATTTTATTCCTTACATTATACATAATCTGAATTTTATAAATAAAAGACCAACTTAAACGAACGGTAAAATATTTGAATAGGATGCATTCGTTACTTTGGATGTCTTTGATATCACAGTAATGATTACTGTAAACATAATAGATCCATGTTTTATGTACTCGTAGATAATATTATTCACATCTGCATTGTTTATCCTTTGCCCTTGCGATTTGTTAGAATTGTCCTGAAATTAAAGTTCTCTCGGAATTTCGAAGGGGTTGAAAATAAAGACGGCAAAAGATCAATAAATGAGATGACAGCCCACTGTCGGACCATAACAATAATATAAGCGCATAAGTCAATACCAGTCCCTATAACAACAGAAATGATGCTCCGGATCAAGATGATAAATTATATGTTATTGGTGCAAGCTAACCGAAGATAATGAATCTGATTCAGAATTATAAACAGTTGTTCATGCAATGCTGCAGCTATGTGTTTATTAAAACTGATCAATTCACATAAATCGTTTTCTTTATCAATAACACAGTTGCTCCCGTGGCGCAATCGGTTAGCGCGCCGTACTTATAGACAGTTCAGTCCTCCGGTGTTATGGGCACCAAGATATGCGGAGGTTGCGAGTTCGAGCCTCGCCGGGAGCAATGGTTTTAGTGATTTTATACACATAATCCCTTATCAGTGAAATTCAAACCAGGGTTACCACAAGAGGCCAAAGATATAGTCATGAACACATTCAGTTTTGAACATAATACTCATTGGTCGGGCGCCGATGAATTGGAGCAAATGTGACTCAGTCATAAATTAACATCTACGGTACATAACATTTGTATCCTATACATATCGAGGCTCTAGGTATATTTAGTCTTTAAGTTTTTAAATACCAACTTTTTGACAAATGATGACAAGATATTTTTAAAACAGCTCTTCAAAAATCATGGGTAAATGTTTCTTTTATTTCAAGTAAGTGTTCAAAGCGAAACCTTTTACGTTTAGAAGCACCTTTGTAAGTAGGTATATGGGGTGAAGTTAATATATTAGGGATATTATTGAAATGTCGAGTCATGCACTGAGAATAAATCTTGGCCTTCGTTGATATAATGAATTACAATCACTTCTACCTACAACTACTTGCTTCGACCAGAACATCGTGAAACTTTGAAATAAATCGACTTCAAAGTTGATAAGTTATGGCCATTGAATAAGTTGAAAATAGCTGAAAATCTGTTCTTGAAATCCAGAATGAAATAAAATAAACATATGTTTCAGTGGCGAGAAGGAATGTCTGAAAATTGTCAAACTGCATGCATACATCTTCACAAACCCCCATTTATCAGTGAGGAAATGTCGATGAAAAATCAAGGTGGTACTAGTATCTTTGACAAGAACTTCGCAGAAGTTTTAAGTGACATTTTTATGTTTCAATAAAATTGTTTTATTCCCATACGACATTTTCTTTTATCAAATTACAATCGATCTCATTACCCTGAATTCCCATCGGCTGGTCATTTCGCCCTCTGATTAGGTCCACTACAAATAATGTAATGCTGTTAAAATCGTAATGATCACAAATGCTCTTTCATAGCCCGTTATGGGAGTTCGAATTCGATATGAATGGCATTTTCGTATTGGCAGGAAAAGTAGCTTAAAACTAATTGTTTTCTGACTGCATATTTTTGTTTCACGTAGGATATATCAAAATCATCTCAGAATTAAAGAGTGTTGAAGTAGAAATCGTAGTCTTTTGAAGGGTAATACTTACAATTCTTCCTACTTTGTTATTATGTAAATTAATTCTTGAATGAATATCTTTGGCGCTAGTCTCCTTTGAGTCTAGGAATTTCTGGGCAAATTTGTCTCCCCAATGAATATTGTGACTGCACCCTCCCCACTCCCACTGTTTCGCCCGACGGCCGTCGTTGCTCAGATCGCAGCCGCAGGATTTGAGTTTACCGAGACTGCAAGCCCTGGCGACCTGGCTTGTCACCCCAGCGCTTGATACTGCATAGGCAAAGGCAGTTTCACGAAAACCTGAAAGAACAAGTCATATATGCGATATATATTTACGATTTACTTGAATCTGAACATGTTTTTGCATGTTCAATTCGTTTGCTTTCTTGTTTGTTTATTTATTTATTTGTTTGTTTGTTTGTTTTTAAGTGTGTTTTTATTTGTTTGTGTTAGCTCTTTGGATTGATTATTTTAGTGTTTTGGCATAACTAGGGCAAAGGTTGATGAAACAGAATGCTATGCAAAAGCTATCAATTATACAATTTCTGATTCAACTCTACATGTTTACTATGGCGTATATCCATGCTACGGAAATAGTTTTACTCATACAACTGCACATCAAGTGATGAAGCCCTACTTGTGCCAGTATAGCTCCTTAATAACAAAATATTTTAATTACACCCTTAGCTATAATTTTTCATTTTTGAAATGTTGGCATTCAGCACTATAGAAAACTAACTGTAAATGCTAGCAAAAACAAATGTGTCCCATCAAAGTTTGGCAGAGGGGTGGGGCTGAGACTGAAAAATACACGAGTTAATGGCCATTCAACGCGCTCCGTCAAGTTTTAAGTATTCTTATCGGGAACTTTTCTCATCTCCGACTTAGCAACAATTCGTCTTTCAATAATGTTTTTAATCTGGGCTAAGTGTAATTAAAATGATTTGATCTATTAGGATTTAGTCTCACAAAATCAAACTAAGTTTGTAGTTTAGCATTTCTGAACATGCTATTTTTAAGATACATACGTTATTATCTTGGGGCATAGGTTAAACGGAGGCAATCGGTAAGATTCCATATTTCCCAGGATGGTCTTTCTCTGAATGGATACATATTATACAGGTCCAGTACTAGTTTAGTTCAATTTTAAACCTAATCACCAACTTTGGATATTTTAAATCCCTAAATCAACACTAAATTAATTTTACCATTCGACTAAATATTATTTTTTCACAAAACCAAAACAAATCAACACCTATGACAAAAGAATCAGAATCTGGCAGTTGGTATGCAGATAAATACGCATGATCATCTACCAGTGTAACATTTACAAGGGGGTATCTTTGGACCAAATCTATGGGCGTAGTCAGAGCGGGGGGATGCGATTGGTGCAAAAAGCAATTTTGTAAAGATTTAAAAAAAAATGAACACATTAAAGTTGAAATGCTTAGAATGCGCCAGCAAATACAATTTAAATTTTAAGAAAATTCCGGGGATGAACCCCGTACCCCCTTTTTGGGACTCGCTTCGCTATCAGTGATGCTAACTCAAAAATCGCTCCCCTTTGTTGACAATTGCTTGCTAAGCCCCTGCATCTCTCCTGGGGGTAAAGGAATATGAGCGTCACATGGAGATTCAAGCCTATGTACTACCCCTGTTAACTTTCAGTTCACATTTTCTAGAAATTGCCAAGAGGAAAGGTAGTGCACCCTGGATTAACCTGTACCTCTTACCTGTTCCAAAAACATACAGTAGCAGATGGCCGGCGCGTGATTAAACATCATTTCACTGGATTAAGTAACCATGTTGAACGCTTTTTATTTTCAACACTTTCCAAGAAAATTCATTTTCGCAATTTTTGTTATAATTAAAGGGTGAAATAACCCGAAGTGGATAACATATATTGTTAGCTATAGGATGTGGAGTTTTTGTATAATCTGTATAGCCCCCTGAACACGGAGCATGTGTATCTAAACAAGCAAACGTTCAAGTTAAGACTCCTGGTATCATTCAGTTTGTTTGGAAACTAATATCAAGACAAAACCCAAAGCATTTTTAAGGAAAGCTACATTTTATCTTTCCGAATCTTCCCGTCGGTGACAAAAATAACGTGAATCAAGTCAGCTGTTACCATGGCATCTTACGGTTATCATAGCAACCGATTTGAAGAGACATATTTGCCGATGGAAACTGCTATCAAGAAACTAAAAAGAAATATCAATTTAAAGCTTTATTCCACACCATGCTTGCACTTAATGACAAGATAACTCAATGCTTCATCTCAGGATTTGTTTAAGCTTTAGAACTGATGAAACGGTCGTACGTTAGGTGGTCCCTTTCATACTCCACTACCAGAGCTCTGTACCAGAACGTTAGATCCTTTGCTGGCTTCTCTGATCCTTCTCGAATCGCACAAAATAAAACTCAATACACATGGTATAGTAAACTCCATCAGATCATTTCAACATAGTCTTGGCGTTGCATTTGGTCTCTCTCCTTAATATATTTTTTCACATTCCTTACACGACCCAGTGTGAGAGAAAGAAGGAGGGGGGGGGGGCGTGTGTTTAATTCTAGACAAGTTCTCTCAATTGCATCCTTGTAAGTAACACACTATAAAAATAAGACCATTATTGACTTAATTATTTACAAAATTCTATTATAAATTTTGAAATCAGGGGCATGTTTTCTTTATTATAAGGAAAGTGATAGGTCGTGTTTTCATGTCGTATTTAACAATAAATGCTCTTCAAGATAAACCAAAGAGATTCTTCTTTGGCGGTGAACTTTTATTGGTTTTCTGTAATTAAATGATGTCAAGTACCTTGAATTATTTAGTCACATTACAAATATTTCCATGTCTTTTCGTGTCCAGTAATTATCAGCCCATAATGTCAAAATTGCCCATAATGTCAAATTATCTTAAAATCAAATACTGTTACTCTTGCAGAAAAAGAAGTCCAAAAACGGATTTTAACAGACCCCGATGAGTTGTTGTTTATAGGCCAACCTTTATCTTCATTTGTTTGAATTTTATAATTTTAAGTACGATGTCTACATATGCTAGAAATGATGGTAAGTTTTATTGTTTATTGTGTATATACATATAAAACCAAATGGATTTAGCATTGATTCTCATTGAAAATCAGTTTTGACTGCATCCCAAGAGCTTGTTCTGCTTTGCCTCGTTTCATGACTTTTATTTCCTCTAAGATTCTTTACGAGCCATAAAGGACCAATAAAAGAAGTGGTTTCAAGATGGATAGTGGATGAAATTACGTGTAAATGTATTTTGTCCATAAACTTTTTGTGTTCCATGCGAACTGATGACAGCCTTGACAGTCGTAGAAACAATGTTGACCATTATGATCAACTGAACCCTTTGTTAGAGTTCTTTCGATTTGATACACCAATGATGATTCAAAATCATAAAATAAGATGGTACCTAATAAACACATAAGATCTTGACAAATTGGGAAGTTGGAGGCCTAATTAAATTAATACCAAAATGGGAAATGGAAATCCTAGTTTGACAACTGGAAGCCCTATTATAGGGTACTTATCAACGCCAGTTTATGTTTGGTCATTTAGAAAAAACTCATCAAATTTTTCTTAAATTTCCTTAATATTGTAATTTGGAACAACATTTTAAAGATTCAAGCATCAACAAAATCCATGCCACTTTCCAATTAATACCTCCGGTTGCCAAACTTATGGAGGGGAGTGAATATGTACATGTATGTTACCCTTGATGGAAACAGTTTCTCTTAGCAATACATACCTTTTGATAATAAGGGACTAGAATGCGGATTTTTATTTTTAGTCTCTAACGTTGAGCAGTTCCAACGATGTCTTTTAAACTGGTATTGACACTCGTGTATTGCAATTTGTATCCCCTGAATGGCAGACGCTGTTACATCCGGGTACCGTGAGCATAAGGCGTATTGCATGGGGTTGAGATCTGGGTAGGTTTTACACACCGTGTTTGGGTCTAATGTGGGTTCTGTTGGGATATTGAGTCCTATTATTGCATTTCCTCTGTAACAAGTCGCACTGGAAATAAAGCAAACTGATAAACCCAAAGCAGACAGAACACCAATGATATCAAAGCTCGACGTAATAAATAAGCATTTTCCAATCATTCAATCGTGAAATTAAGTAGACTAATTATCATTAGACCATTGATTCAATAAACATTTTCTGAAAATCAAAGTCCTTATTGTGATACAATGATAGCAGAAGTTCATAAAACCGTAGCAAAATATCAGTACGTATGCATTGATTAAGCTGGAAGTAATCTTTGAATTGGAAGCAGGAAATGATGAAGCTTTTTGAATCAAATTGAATCATATTTGTTATATGCTATGTAAAAAATAGAAGCAAAATGAATTACAATGTGTAACAATTGGAAGCAAAATGAATTACAATGTGTAACAATTGGAAGCAAAATGAATTACAATGTGTAACAAATAGAAGCAAAATGAATTACAATGTGTAACAAATAGAAGCAAAATGAATTACAATGTGTAACAATTGGAAGCAAAATGAATTACAATGTGTAACAAATAGAAGCAAAATGAATTACAATATGTAACAAATAGAAGTAAAGTGAATTACAATGTGTAACAAATAGGCGCAATATGAATTACAATGTGTTACAATTGGAAGCAAAATGAATTACAATGTGTAACAAATAAAAGCAAAATGAATTACAATGTGTAACAAATGGAAGCAAAGTGAATTACAATGTGTAACAAATAGACGCAAGATGAATTGCAATGTGTAACAAATAGACGCAAGATGAATTACAATGTGTAACAAATGGAAGCAAAATGAATTGCAATGTGTAACAAATAGACGCAAGATGAATAACAATGTGTAACAAATGGAAGCAAAATGAATTGCAATGTGTAACAAATAGACGCAAGATGAATAACAATTTGTAACAAATTGAATTAATCAAAACGTGATAAACTACAAAATTAAGCAATGTAATGAATTATGAATTGAAGTATGACGTGATATACTCTTTAACAAAATGAAACAAAACGTGATACACTCTGTTAAAATTTGAGTAAAACGTGATGATTCCCTAAAACAATTAGAAGTTAGCTGAATTATACTGAGTAAAAGATTGAAGCAAAACGTGATGTACTCTAATACGTTGAAGCAAGAGTAATTACAATTACAATGTTTAACAAAATGAAGCGAAACGCGATGTACTCTGTTATAAGCAGAAATTAAACCTAAACCTACATTGTGTGATAAATTGAAGCAAGATAAGTTACACCATTGTGAAACAAATTGAGGTAAAACGAAAACGTGATACTCTGTAACAAAATGAAACAATATGAATTCCATGATGCAAAAAATTGAAGCAAAGTGTGACACACTCTGTTACATATAGAAGATCAGTTACATTTGTGTTACAAACTTAAGCAAAGCGTGATATAAAATATACACATAACAAATATTTAAGCAAAACGTGATATATTCATTAAGAAATAGAAGTAAGATGAGTGACATTATGCCACAAATTTAAGCAAACCTGATACAAGCTTTAACAAATTGAAGACGAATTACATTTGTTAAATAAGTGAAACAGGAACTAAAATACTAAAACGTACTTCAAATCAAATCAAACAGTGATATGTACTTAGGGAAACTTATTGATAAAAAACAACAACAACAAATGTTCTGTAAATAATGAACATTTTTTGATAATTGGCTTTGATTAAGTATAATAAACGATCACATTCTGTTGCTTTATACATCAGCTATGAAAACATTGTTATATCGTCTCAATGCATTGTTCATGCTTGGTGTCAAAATGCCACCGGTAAAAAATGAGTCGACTTTCGGAGATATCTTCGGATGGTACGGTTTGATTAAGCGTGTCTTTTTCAACCACCGTAGCTCTGTAAATAATCACTTACCAGACGTTAATTATAGGTTTACACCTGTAAGCATTCATCTTCGTGTATAAAGTTGTTCAAATATACACCATAATGTATTGGGGGCGGGCAGAGAAACAATGGTTTTTGAAAAATTTAATGAAATTAAACAATTTTTTAAAGCTGTCCGATCGCCTGTGAGGTAAGGGTGCCGTTACAACCTTAGATTGATTATTTTTGCTCTTTTATCGCGACTGAGACATATTTACAAACTTTTAGGGGTATAATTATCTCTTTGAAGTGATGCGCTAGTATGGTGTGAAGTTTATAAAAGGCCATACGGGAGAAAGTTTTGGTTTTGATACAATGTGAGGTCCAACTCCGAGCATTACATTCCCATGCCTTGGTCTAGAAAATTACCCACAACTTTCAAACCCTCCGTTTAAACTGTGCATTGAAATATATATATTTTAAAATGCTTGGGTTACCATAGAGAAGTATAAAAGATACATTTAATTTAAAGAAAGGAATATAATTGATGAAGAGCTGATGTACATTGCCGAAGAAGTTTTGTTCTTGAAAATCTTAAAAATTCTTTTTGCGCAGTAAATATGAAACGAGATTAATTATGTGTAATAATATCTAACAAACATAAACTCATATCATTGGTCTAGCCCAAAACGGAAGTAGGGCTTTCTTATCTTTTACAAAAATAAGGTGTTGTTACGACTTTTAGCCATACAAATTTTGCGTTAATGAATGTTTGCCTCTTATTGTCGTCATTGTTGTCATTCATTTTTATTTGTTAATTATCTTTAATATCATCATCATCGATCTTTAATATCATCATCATCGTCTTACCAAATAAACTAGTCAGATATCAGAACATGAAGTATATCAAGTCATCCCACGAAATTTGAGTGCTATCTTGCTTCCCATCAACAAATTCCTCGATGCTTATATCAGTACCCCTATCTTTGCTCTAGACTCATGTGTCAAGACATTGCCCTTAGTTGTTAAAAAAGTCAAAAATTTAATTCAAAGATAAAATTTGACTTGAGGATGTATTAAGATAAGGGATTCTAAATGTTGATTTGTCAAAGTTCTAAATGCTAGAGGTAAAACTGTTCAAAATTACCGTATTGTGTCAATGCAATATTTTTAATTTAAGGAATTTCGAATCGGTAATTACTGAAAATAAATATATGAATTATAAGCATGCATGCACGAAAACGACAAAATAAAATTCTACAACTGTGTAAAATGACAAATATTGATTGATGACGTAGTTGTATATTTACTGCATATATTTAGGAAATATAATCGCAAATATTGCGAATACTCGTATGTAGGGATAGCTGCTATTAGGTGGTATTGACCACAGAAGGACATGTCATACTTTTATTTGAATACTCAGAATAATAAATTCCTCTAACTGTATAAACTTGATATTACTTAAAGGAATCAAATGAAGCAGCTTGTCAAATGTATAATATATTTCCAACATATTTATTCTCGTTAGCGTCAAGAATAAGGAACCGAACTAGACATTGGAAGATCTATTCTTTTATTTTGATAATGTTGAATGATTATGTTGAATTATTTTTGAATCATTATGAAGAGGTACCGGATCCTAAATTCGACGTGGTCGTCTCGTTCAGTAAACAGTCAAACGGCGTGGGATTCCTGGGCCAATATTTATCATTCCTGATTAAAACCTGATAGCGTTTTACTATTAGCATCATAGAGGAAACGAGTAAACACATTTAAATAAATAATTTGGATGAATATTGGAAGTTTACAACAATGGACCTCTAAATCAAACTCAAATATTTCACCCGGATTTCAAAATCAGCCAAGGTGCATGAAATATAGTCCGAAGTTTTAGGACAATTTGGTAAACCACAAACCCGACTTTAGTTGATGCTTACACCTTGCTCATTAACTTTGATTGTTCGATATTATTAATTGAGTGTCAAATTGGTCATAATAGGAACTAAATTATAACTTTGAACGAGAAATTGAAATATGAATAAATACATATCATCAATCAACTTGTATTCCTATGAATGGCAAGTGTCACTTTCCCCGACAATTATGATGAACGGTATTATTCAGCGTTATGTCATACACCCCATAGGCGCAAAACAAAAAATACCACAAAACAAAACAAGTTCCATCATTCATGGATTTCATAAGCTTTCCTTCATGTTCATGGATGAACATCTAAGATACTTACTGCACTTATAAGTATAGCTGTAAATGTCATTAGTAAGTTAGGTTCTAATAAATGTAACTGATATTTACTTTTGAATATATAGAAATTCCTAATTTATTTAGAGCGTGGTATGTAATTCAAGTCCTAGTGTTCACATGTACGAATTCAGCGATAGAGACGAGGTTGAGAAATAGACGATATGTTCAACATACACTTTACCCAAATGTCAATCCTGATACAGTTATTTTAGCTTAGATCACGGAAATCGTGAGAATTTAAGATATTATTCAAAAACAAGTCTTCCATATCTATCGAATTAGCGTGTTTTCGTAACTAGTTCTGCTATGGTTGCAGTTAGTTATGGCCTGATATTCTTAATAGTTGCCAATGCGTTTGCAGAAACGAAACATGTAATTATATTTTTAATTGAACGTTTAGGAATAAATCAATTAAAAGATTTTGAACATGGTTCTTAAATCAATTATTTCAATGTCTAAATGGACACGCTGGCTCTAGCATGTGCTTCAAACTCTGTCATTTTTTCCTACACACATGTCACTTTAATTTAATCGGCAATGGGTACCACTGTTTTATATTGTTATTTTAGCATATATCTATACAACGTTGAATATATCATAACAATTCAAGTAAGGTAGATAATTTCCAGACCCAAAATATGATTTTTCACATGTCACCTTTAGATAATTAACGTGGAAGAGTAGACCTATACGATGATGACCGGACCATCCGAAGCCCCCGGCAATATAAAATATCCCATACAACTATTTAGTGAAATGGTTCGATAGGACATGGTAAATCACTATAATTATATAGTAAAGATGACTGCCAATGTCATATTCTTTTTACTTTTCAATGCAAAGAACGATCAGTACACAATTGAGAAATCGAGTGCAAACAAACAGACAATGTGTGACACTGAAAGAAAAGTAAACTTTCCCGAATGGTCATCATCACGGACTCCGGATCCAACCCCACACATGTCATTATTTAGTTAGGATATGTTATGACAAGTTTATTATAGATATCACCGATTAAAATTCGAATGCACCATTATATTAAATTAAAGCTGATAGATTCGTTCTTGTAGATTTAGGTTTGATTCTTGGCTTTTGATTTTTCCAGTGCCAATGTCAAGTGTTCACTTCTGATCGTTTAGTTACATATCTAAGAGCTAAAAATTGCAAAAATGATAGATCTATTTACCTCGTGAAAATTGATTACATAATGTGTTTATTAATGTGAACATTTTAGGTTTCCCGAATTACAATTTTATGTTTCTCAATTACACGAAATAAATTGATTGAAATCTCTGTATGAGGAAATGATACATTTCGATATTTACCAATATCCACAGACATCTGACGGAGATGCGATGAAATACTAACCTACCTATTTACAAAATAGACCAGCATCACTTTGATCCAGAGTAAAGTCTTCATCTTCTTCCTTTACATTATCCTTTATCCCTTTTCAGATCACTCAATCCAGGGTTTTCTCATTTGATATCTGCTTCCACTTAATGAAAGTATATCCTTTTAATAGCATTGTATACACGTTGCCTCCACATTCCAGTTTCAATTTATTTGGAAATCTAACATGTTTACGTCACAGGTTAGCTTGCCCCTCGTCATACGGGGGTTGACGGATGAGCTTTTAAGATCAAGCAGTCAAAAAATCACTAAAGGAACTACGTTTGGTCCAAATCGAGTGCCTGAGTCAGTAGGTGGTAAAATTAACTATCTAAACGAAGATCTCCACAGCATAAATCATCCACTAAGGCAGGTAGTTAAAGCTAGTTTTCAATCAAATCCTTCCAAGTTTCAATAATCCAGCCTCACTCCGTCTTCGGATGATTTTCTTATTCAGCAAGCTGCCTCAGCGGTAACATGACTTTAGACATATAGACTGAAAACATCACCAATCTCTAATCACTTTATTTCGTACACCCTTCCTCGTGTTTTCAGCACCTTCTTGAAACGCTCTACCGTCGTGAATTACAAATATCCATCTACAGGTATCCCTTCAGTATCATACTGGAGCAGCTTCCAAATGTTGTTAGCTTTTATTGTGATTTTACTGTAATTATATTAGTGGTGAATTTATTCAATCCGATGTTGATTAGTTGCTTCTTATTTGGAACAAAAAATAAACAAAATAACAACCATGATCTTCTCTACTTGATAAACAGATATTGACATATAATTCGAACTTTAATTTACACTTCTTATAAATGGGTTTCAATATTTTAAGATGGACCCTCAAGTCAATGTTAGTGCCAATCAGAGTAGAAAGAATGACAGTTCCCCTGGGCACCCGTTTGTTATCCAGTGATGATGTGATCATCATTTGTCTCATTATATCACAATTATGTGACATAACATCCTCGTATGAATTTTCTGCATAAATAGTGCATTTACAGCCATATCGGGAAAATTATATTGATAAGTATATGACAATTAAGCTTTTATATATTTTGCTCTGATTAAGATGTATGTTTTGTTACGCAATAGTAGCATTTTTGAATTGTCATGTTGAACCCAAACAGAAGGCATGGAAATGTCACCACTTTGGCATGGCTAGAGGGCAGACCTAATAGCCGTGATAAATCACTCTATTATCTTTAAAAATTACTAAACTATACAGCGTATCAATCGAAACAAACAACCCTATTCTTAAATTATGTAATCAAGTGGCATCTGTTAGAAGTCCATTGTTTGTTGCCATGACAACGACAAAAGTGGGATGTGTTTCTGTCACCGTTGTCATCATTTCTCATTCTCTTTTCTGAGATTTAATGATCACCACATTCAGTATGATTAGTGGTGAAATATGACCATATTTGGCAGGTGATTTCGGTCATTGTGAAGGTCATGGTGGTTGACGGGTACATCGTCGTACTGTATTGGGGACGGTTTACCTTGAATTCCTATCTTCTAACCAATGTATCCCCTTGGATATGGTTTAAGAGTATTGGTGCTTGTGAGCTTGTAATGATCTTATTTAACTTTAATGAATGTGAAGTTTATGTTAGAAATATAGAAATGTAATGTCATGATTTTCTAACTGTATATTCTGATCGTTAATTAGATATAGAGCAAGCTCTCAAAGTGTAGCGATGGCTACTTCCGTACTAAAGAACAACTCTGTGTAAGTAATTGATTTCAATCATTTCACATACAAATCAGTTCGTCTCCATATTAATGATGGGGATGAGGTGTTGAACGCAGATTCCGAGTTTATGGATCAGACAATAGTTTTAAAAATGTACACATACTAATGTTTTGTACATGTTTTTGTCATAGTCGTCAACCGGTTTGTCTTTATTGTTGTCAATCAAAACAAAGGTCTGTTCTCCTTTGTCTTTTTAAGAGAACCTGTACAACCAGCGTAATTTCCACAAATTGTAGGATGACTGCGACATCTATAGAAACATGAAACTTAAATTTATTTGTGTCTCGATATACTCATTAATGGTTTTTGTTGATATCAAATCATTTTCAAAAATGACAGTAATAAAAAAAACTTCTCTCGACTCCTTATCAAAGGCAGACGATTAGATCTAATTAGTTCAATTGTAGAATGTTCTGACTCTTTACATTCCCTGTCATAGACGTTGTTTCTTTCACGTTAGATTATGGTGTGGAATAGTTGGGGGTTGTTTCCCTTATTACATGATTTACGTACTCTTTAACGGTTTTCTTTTTCTTGATGTGATCTGTAACAATTGTTGGGTTCGTCCTTTCCCTTTGGCACCTGTGTATATTACTATTAAAAATTTTAAATGCTTAGTATCAAAAGGAGTACTAAAACTTATATTGAATGGTATAACGTGCCTGTTAATGACCAGATTATTGTGCCGACTTCATGTGTTTAAATATTTACACCAGTACTTGCGGGGAGTTCCTCATTGCACTACTGTACCGCCCCGATCTCTAAGTAGAGTCACCACTGCCATCTATAAAACGAGCCAAACGATACAAATATCATACTTAATGTTTTAATGCGACCACTAGGATTGTATTATGAATACTAGAAGTCACAGTGTCATCGCCATCTATAAAAACGTGAATTCTAAAGCTAAATACTGTTGAAAGTGATCACAAGTATTGGTATTCAACTTAGTAGTAGTGCCATCTATATTATACACACGTGAACACAAATAACACTGGCCTCAATATGACCAGTGTATGTGTTTTACACACTAATATCAGGTACAGTTGTCATCTTTTGGCAGTGATAACATGCCATTTCTTCTAAAATATGTTTATTTAGGTTATCTGAAGGAAAATTTCGAGTCAAATGGCATACTAATTTTGCTTCATTTCTGGGAATTCCAATTTTTGCGGTAGATAGAGGAGGTAGTATTACAATTGACCGATTATTGTATGGTGACGTGACCAAAGTACAGTAAAGAATTATAGAGTAATTGTAACCATGGACCTATATCCTCCATGTTGTAACTTAACCTGTTTGTCGATGGATCTGGGCACATAATATGTGATGTGTATTTCTAAAATAGCTTTCATCATTTTAACACGAGATATAAACATTTTCTTAGCATTTCAGTTTAGATGTCTCTCTCTCCCTCTCTCTCGCTCTCTAGGTAGCATACGCATCAACTTCAACAGTCTCGTTTTGAGTGTTTATGAACAGAGAAAATGACTGGGTGATCCTGTAAAGATGGCTGTCAAACTGGTTCATCAAATTGTACTGTGTTGAAGCAAGACTGTTCCGTTTGCATACCAAACAATTCAGATTTGGGTTTATTACACCGCCGTGATAATTACACATGTATCGAGAACTTTATTTTACAGAATAAGAAATCGTAACCATTGTTCCACAGCTGGATGACTCTAACTGCAGTTAGCTTCATTCAAGATGGATGCGAAATTCTTTCGATTTCGGTAAACTTCCAATTTCAGCTAACTAAGTAGAATCTGGATTCCAAATGTTTCGCCATGCGAATTAATAAAGCTACGAAGGTAAATAACCACAAATAAATGCTCAAACAACCGCTATATTGGAGAATTTTAGAATGACTCAAACTGGAGTTGATGATGACGTAATAGATCATAATCTTCAGTTAGAGTCCTTCTAAGTGAAGCCGTTTTCTTTAAATTCTCTAATATTGCGGATGTTTGGGCATTCATTTGTGATTGAATACAATCGTAGTTTTATTAATTTGCATGGCGAAACTTTTGGAATCAAGATTCAACTTAGTTTAGCTGAAATCGGAGGTTTATCGAAAACGAAAGAATCTCGGCAACCATCTTGAATGAGGCTAACTGCAGTTAGAGTCATCCAGCTGTGGAACAGTGATAACACTAATACATTTGAAAAGGTTTACCGCTTAACCCTAATAGCCATAAGGTAAAAAAGGCACACGAACGCCGATGGGGGGTCAAATGACCCCACTTGTAAAATCTTTATTAGTAAAGCTAGGATCTTCAAACCTTTCCAAAAATTACTTCATTCAATTAGCTATGTTATGGTATAACAACTTTAACAACTATGATGATGTAAACTTACGTAATTTTATTCTAAAGAATTAGCGCCAGCTTTTTTCCGATTTTGTCTGTATTGAAGCTGAAAACTACTAAAATAGTACAGCATTATAAATCAATAGTATAGTTTCCATTATGCTTTTGAAATCTCGCCAAATCTCGTTTTTCGTGATATTTTAAGAGATTCGCATATTAGACCTCTAATGACTTACATTACCTTCTTTTAAATGGCATATTTGAATTCAGTGAAATGTTTTCTCCTATAATAGCTTTGATTTACACAGTTATGCAATTTGAATAACTTTCTATGACAATTTAAAAAAACTTGGCCCAAATCTCCATAGATGCAATGCTAAAATTCTTTAAAACCTTGGATTATTTGTATGTCAACCAACGTTTGCATGTTTAATCACAACATGTACATAAACAGGGTCATCATGTGGTATATCATTTATGTTTTATACAGATTCAACTAACACACTTTGATAAATCATGAAATCAAGCCACTTTTCCAAGATTTTAGCTCGAAGTGAATGGAACTCTAGCCCAATTTAAAAGCTGAATAAAAGATGACAGCACTAGATTTCATTGATTTTTCTGCTATTTAGAAACTATCCAATTACCCTATGTACAATTCTGCTGATTTTTCAGAAAACATCTGTCATATCTGTAGCTTGAGCTCCTGAGAATTTAAACATAACTGGGTGGAAATGACCCCCTCCCCTTAGGGCTTCTAGGGATAAATATTAATATTTTCTTGATTCATTTTATTCCAAGCATTTGCTGAAATTGATACTATCATAGATAGTCTAAAAGATCCATGATCACACAACTGTCGCAAAATTAAATGGAAAATTGTGGTTTGAAACCAATATCTAATTATTTCTCTTGATACTACAGAGTGAGTCGAAAAGGTAACAAACAAATAAAGTTCAAAAACCTTAGTGACTCGGGCTAAGTGTCATTGGTCTATCCCTAATGGTCACAATTTTATAGCCCTATTATAAAACATGCTATATAATGTCGGCGTCTAGAGACAAACCTGAACATTTCGGGCAAAATAGTTCACTACATGAGCACAGACATCTTGTGCAATTGCTCACATTTTCCTAATCTCTTGTTTCAATGTTTCAGGGTTTTTAGTTAGACATTAGCCTTACAGATGGAAATATGGGGTGTTTCATGTCCGGTTAGTGTGAACTGTTTCAGGATTTGGAGCATTTTTGTAAATGGCCATAAAATTGTGACCATTGGGGATAGACCAATGGAACTTGGAAGAATGAAAGGACATGGTTAAATTGAGCTAAATAAGACTTTAAACCCATGATGAATGACTGATTTATTAACATTTATTTCTTTGGGTTACCTTTTTGGCTCACCCTGTAATTTCGTTACCCATATGAATTTCAGCACTAATTTGCCACGTTCACTTATGCTTGATATCGATGATATCACATACATACAGCCTACACCTACAGTATAATGGTGTATTGGCCACTTCTGTTACATTATAATTTTTTAACATATTATTTATTTCCTTCATAATAAGAAAATACATAAAATATCTACTACCAATTGCCATAGGCATTCCAGGGAGTTTAAATTACAATAGAGGATTAATTTCAGTAATCATAGATGGTTATTGGTAATGTGAGAGGTTGGGAGGGAGGGGGGGGGGGTTGTCACAAGATACAAATGAGAATTACATTAAT